ATGTCGCCGTCTCAAGATGGAGCGCGCGCATATAGTTGCCAGTGCTGTCGCAGCTTAGAGTGCTTGCATGTAGGTGTGCATATGCTTGACAATGATTCCAATTAAATTCCTGGATCTGCGATGGTACGCAATTCGCCAGTTGATCAGCTAAGCTTATGAGATTACACCATGTCGTAGTTTAGACCATCATCTGAGCTGCCTGGGGTACACACTGGCCTGTCTCGCCAGGTAGAAAAATGAAGTCTGTGCCACAATCAAATCAGCTTTCACACGGTGACTTTTGCCACTTTGTATCACTAACGCTTGCTTCAGTTCAGTGTAGCGATGGTGGCGCTTTTCAAGCTAATGGAAGCGTTGGAGTATTCTTGGGGATCGACCCGCTCGACGCCATACTGATTCGGCTCCCGCGCAGGGGTCCCTGTGAGTGGATCATTTGGGGGGTTAACTTAAAACGACGCAAGCCCGCATCGACAGGTAACCAGCCTGACGGCGGCAACACATCAGGGGAGTACGCAGTCACATCCATGGCATCCTGTATTCCCTCTCTCCTCAACCCTCTCTGGGGCATTTTAGCAGTCGCGTTACCTTAACCTGTTCGCAAGGGGACGCGGCGGTAACTTGGCATTAATCTTGCCGCGCGGACACCTCCACATCGTGGTCAACTTTCATAGTAAGGATACACCCAGTCAGGCCGACGTAAGCGCGTGTTGACCTTTTCGCAGTGGACTCTCGTAGGGCTCTCACACAGCCCACGTCTCCGTTCCTACCATCTTGGCTTTCTCGGTTTCCAAGTTGCTCTCTCCACCTCCTTCCTTACGCAACATGACCAGACGAAACTTCATTCCGCTCCTTGCCGTGTTCATCGTCCTTTCCACAATTGCATTCTTTTACTCCGACATACGCACAAGCGAGACGTGGAGGAGTTTGCCTCAACATGTGGGCTTGGGCGAACACATTAGCAGCAACGCGCAACCGCACAGCGCGGACCCATTGGACGATCCCGACTACATGAATTGGAATCCAAAACCCGTGTTCAAACCAGGCTCGCCGATGCCTCCGGGGCATAATTACACATCGACATTGATAATTGCAAAGACGAAGAAAGAGGATATCGGATGGATACTGGAAAAGCTGCCGCAGCAAGACAGAGTTGTCTATGTCGCGGACGATCCAACTGCGCCGTTGCACCCCCCAAAGAACAAGGGTCACGAAGTCATGATCTACCTATCATGGATTATTGACAACTACGACAACCTCCCTGATGTCGCCATCTTCATGCATGCGCATCAATTATCATGGCACAATGATGTACTCCTGAGCAACGACGCACACGAAATGATCACTCGTCTGAGTCGGCCACGCGTTTGGAGAGAAGGTTTTGTGAACATGAGGTGCGCTTGGCGCCCAGGCTGCCCGGATTGGATGCACCCAGGTGTGACGGAACAGGACAAGGAAAAGCAGGAAGAGGTTCTTCTTGCAAAGTCATGGAGCGAGCTTTTCCCCCTCGACGAAATCCCCAGTGTGCTGGCGCAGCCTTGTTGCGCCCAGTTTGCCCTCTCGCGAGAACGGATACAAGCGAAGCCCTTGGCGCAATACGTCTGGTACCGTGACTGGGTATTTAACACACAATTACCCGACTACTTGAGCGGGCGCATCTTCGAGTACATCTGGCAATTCATCTTCACAGGTCAAAACATTTACTGCCCAAAAGAGCATTTCTGTTTTTGCGACCAGTACGGCATTTGTTTTGGCGGTGAAGAACAATACGACAACTTCAAGGCTCTTGCGGCCGAGTTGGGTGACAACCAAGCAAAGCTCATGGACTGGTATCAGAGAACAGGGTATATCGCACAAGCGAAGAAGGAAGGCAATATGCAACAGCTAAAGGAGATCGAGACACCTGAGCCAGGTAAGGATGAGGAATATAGGAGGGAGATTGACCGCTTGAAGCCGATGGTCGATCAGTTAAGACATGACGCCTATGCTCGAGGCGAGGACCCGCGAAATCGCGCGTTGGAGATGGGAAGGGAGTGGAAAGAGGGTGACGGTTTTTGACACGATTGCTTTTCTCTAACTTTATCGATTTCGGAAACATTGCGAGTAGAATATTTAGACATGGCTTATTCAAATCGACCATAGTATTTCGATTTTCTCTGGACTGCTTCTCCTTGTCGATTGTTGTAGAGCAAGAACACACAGGTTGTGATTGTGGTTTAGCCGCTGTGAAAGTGTTCAGCACAAATATACTTCCTCTGGCTTTTGCTAGAATCCATTCACGGAATTGTATATTGGGACTGCATCTTTTCTGAAAAGAATCATATTATTGGGTCCACTCACTTGTGGCTTATCTAATCGGCAGTCACATGTTCGCGCGGTATTTGTGCAAACAACACAAACCCACTTCGCCGCGTCGCCGCGACTTTCGCCTTTCTGGCTGGCCCTGTTTGTCCCTCAGACAACAGCAAGCGCCAGCAACCCACATCAGGTGCGCAATAATTGTCTGCTGCCCCAACCCGTCCGCCACTTTTCTGCGTTGAATCCAAACTACGCGCCCAAAGTGCGCTTCTCGGTGCCAACTGCGTCCCCGACATGACCCCAAACTGCACTTTTCGCTACGACCCAAACAATGCATTGCTTCTCCTTCGACACACAAACCATGCCTTGGTCAAGCTATTTGTCTACATGAGTGTCAATCCAAATATATGGCAGCTTGGATATAAGAGAGCTTCGATTGCCATGCATGACCGAGTCGTTGTACTCTCGTAGTTGAGCTCGCATTCGCAGCCATTTCCGCTTCAAATTTTTGATCCAAACACTTACCATTGCGCATTGACAGCTCACTCGTACAACCGCGGGATCCGTCTGATGTCGGGGCAAGCAACCACGATGGCGACAAACGCACCCTACTACCAAATGCGTTCCGGCCAGTTCATTACCACGTCCAACAGCACAAACGCTGCACCGCCCCAATTCGTAGCCGAAGACGAAGAATATGATTTGGGTGGTCCCGCTGTTGTTACGGCGCCGCTCGATCATCATCTCAACCCACATTTGTATGCCGAACACACCGCGCAACAGACATCTGTCGATCATACACTGGAAGAGAACCATAATCTCGTAGAGTTGTTGGAGGCTGCCACAGCTGCTGGCCACGCTGCTCAAGTCATGGATGCAAGTGATACAGGTAGGACAACTCCTACATCGCAAGGTAGGGGCAAAAGGAAAAGGCCGACTGGCTCTCCAGTTGCAGATTCCTCCCTCAAAGCAGATGAACCTATCAGTACCAGACGGAGAAGACTTGAAGGACCTACAGACCCTCGATTACAAGACGGCATCTGTGAAATGGGTGGAGATTTAGTCGATGACAATCAATCACCATCCAGTGAGCCTCAACCCAACAATGCCCGTACTCCAGGTGTCCATTCTGCTGCTGCCCTCTTCCGTCGATCATCAGAGAGAACAGCTCGTAAACACACACGTCCACCAATGTCCAAGCTATTCATCTCTCTCCGGCTCAGCCCTGAGAACTTTCTCCAGCTTCAGGCCTCTGCGAAAGCATATATGCTTGACTCGTCATATCCCGAAAGACAAAGTTGCGTTGGCAATCGTGGTAAGGGAGACAACGATATGGTCAAACTGAGGCTATTCAACTGCGTCCGCGACTTCTTGAGCAGTGGGGTGGGCGAGCGGTTTTTTGGTGAGCATGTGCAAAAGCCAGAGGAAAACGATACCATAGAAGCCGCTCGTGCGCTGGGGGAGATGGAGACGCCCGAGGCAAGTCCACGACTCATCTGGCCGAGAGATGGTAACAAGATTATTGGTCTCGTGACTCCTCTCATGAGACGCATGGTCACGAACGAACGACAACGACAATATGCAATTGAGACGAGGAAGGGGGGCTCAAAGCAAAAAGAGAAGGAAAGCAATGTGAAGGCTGTTACACAGCAAGATGGGAATCAGGACGAACACCGGCTCGAACATCACTTGCAACCAGCATTCGATCCTAACCTGCATCCTTGCCGGTATTCACAGGCAATTCTGCCGTCATCGCCAACATCCGTCGCTCTCGAGCAACGTTCATCACAGGACCAGGTATGCCTTGCGGGTTTGGAACAAAAGACGCATGATCATGTAACAACAGCTTTAAGTTCGAAGGTACGTTGACCGCTGGTTACGGTTGCATTGGATAATTTGAGTGCTGACGTAGACCAGCTATCCAGGACGGGCACGACCAATCCCAACCTAAGACATATCAACATATTTCTTGTAGGGCCCTCATCTGGCACCACGTCAGACACCAAAATAGGCGAGAGACGCATCGCCGCCGACCCGCAATCGCACCTGGCTTGGTATGACTACAGCGACTTTGTAAACGAGGTTGTTTCGCTATTGCAAAATGCCATGGACAGTCATCCCGAACTGGAGTCGTGGATTGGGCCTCTTCAAGCACCAGGCAATAACCTCCGCGGACTCGCGGCTGCTGCCAATGCACTACAAACTGAGGATGCTCCTCAAGGACCCATTGCAACTAGCAAATGCACCGGAATACCTCCAGCTGATGATGTGTCGGCTGCATTACTGCCCCCTGCCTCTGCACCCGCTCTCCGTCCCACCATGGATAAATGCAACAATAGCGACACCAGGCTGCTTTCCCGCTTTGTCATCAAATCTATCGGGCCCGAGGGGTGGCGCCATATTCGCAGTGCTGACGACTGGTACAGCGTGTTGAGGGAAAAGGCGTTTGCCGTCTGGGCGGATGGCATCTGTAATGTACTTGTTGAGTTGGTGGACCCATCAGCCATGGATGTGTAGACTTTTGACACCGACAAAAGGTTTGGTAACTGATACACATGATGGTTGACGGGTGCTGTGCATTGTATTGTGCCGCATGAGAGGAGACGCTACGTAGACTTGTGTTGCGCCAAAAGTCAAACAGCATTCACGAGACATGAAGAGTTATCGCAACTACCTTTTGTCGTGCAATCATATCAAGCTATCATTTAATTCCCCCTCTCCCCCATTTTTATTTTATTTTACCTTTTAAATTTTCATTTCATTACACACACACACACACATACATACATACAATATTCCCAAGCGTCGCTACAAAACAAAGAGCGTCGGTAGCGTGTAGGATACCAGGGGGTGGGGGGCTAGCCTCTCCACCAACCCAAACCAAAAAAAATCAATGTACCGTAATGGGGTAAGCTTCCCCCCCCTCCCTTCCTTTACGCCCACCCAACCCACACACACCACCCCACCAAGGCAAGAAAAACAGCCAAGCCGTAGATTGTAGCGAACGTCGTTCGCCTGCCCTGCGGTGGGCCCTCCGCCCCCCTCCCCTTCCTTCTTGCGTGAACGCTTAAAGGGACTCTTTTTTTTCCTATTTCCGTTTTCCGACGGGGTTTTCTGGGGCCCTATTTGAGGTTAGGCTGGGTTGGTGGTGGTGGGGCTCAACAGGTTTATGGGGATGCATCGCTTTTGGGGGGGGGAGGGGGGAGGGGTTGAGATTTTGACGGTTGAAATGTTTTTTTTCTACTATTTGTTTATTTATTTATCTGAGGATGATGGATGTGAGGTACTTGTAGGTGGGGGAGTTCTTGATTCGACACTTTTTCTTATCTTTTGCTTTTGGAGGCAGCTGAAGGTGGTCTGACGGAAAGTGGGTTGAGATGGGGGGGAGGGGAAGAAAAAGCATGTGATTGTGGAGATTGTGGGCTAGTATGGTAAGTAGTCGCTCTTTTTCACTTTGTGTGTTGTGTAGATTGCAAGCACCGGCGTAAGTTACTTGTTGTAAGTTTTGCTTTTGTGCGACTTTGATTGGCTTGTGGAGAGGAGAAGTTCTGGTTCAGGTGGATGTGTCACGCGGTATTGTGTGGTATGTTACACGAATGGTCATATGAGAGGTGAATTGTTACGTTTCTCCGGTGAGTTTGGTTCGCTGTGAACTTAGTATGTTGCCAGCTGGCACCCGCATGTTGCAGTCGAGAGCCGCAAGAGTCAGACAAGGGAGATGGAATGCGGCGTTTCTGTGGGAGAATGTAAGTCATGCTATGTTTGTATACATACATCTGAAACTTGTGCCGTTTGTGTCAGATCTGTGTGTAGCGGGTAAGTTCCGAAATGTGGTGTCATCGTTTGCTGCAGTGTAGCGCTGTGAGAATATTTGGGCTTTAATTGCAAGGGATGGACGATATAAAAAGGGGGTTTGAGTGTTGTATGTAGATTTTTGATTGAATAGTAAAGTGGACTTGCGGCTGCGAATCTTCAACAGCATGCCAAAGCGAGGAGTACGCGCCTTGAACTGTCAGCATCTGCGCAACGTAAAGTCTACGACACAAGGGTTTCCTTTGTCCAGTAAAGAAGAACTTCTCTCCTACTGTGATGCATACGCGCACATGTATGGTATACCACGACATGCAACTACACTGGATTGCACCTCTCACAACTCTACGCTTTCGCTGCTCAATTCCTAAGGCATCCAGCGTCTCGAACCTGTTTATTGAACCTACACAAGAAGCTCTCCCCCCGTCCAACTAGTTACTATATGCAGCGCCTCCGCTATAACCCACATCTCCAAACTCAATTGAAGAAACGTACCACTTTCTCCAGATTCTTTATGCCCGCTACTGTGTTTCATTCGTCTCTTATCGCAACCAGATCTAATCAAGCGAGGTACTAATTACCGGACCGCAACTAAGTATATCATTTGCGCAAACGCAAACAGGGTCGATCGAGCTGGCGGGAGTAAAAGAAAGTTGGATTGGATCAACTAGAGGGGTTGTTAGGGTCGAGTAGAGTTTTTGGAAAGCGCGGACCCCGTGTCCGGCGTTGCATTTAGCGCGGAGTGTGGAGGGGATCAGGTGGGGTTTGGGGATTGTTAGGTGAGAGACTGGATGAACTCTTTCTTGTTTGCTTGCTGAAGTGGTGTTGGGATAAGGTGTGTGATGGTCAGTAGGCGCATGTTTCAAGCCTGTAAGAAGGGCGTGGGATTCAAGGTATAGTTTCTTATTGTTGTAGCCTTTTCTTTTTGAGCTTCCTAGGGAGAAATATGTGGTGGCTAGCTTAAAGACGAGTGTTGATGGATATGAGTTGCTGTCTCCCTCAAGTGTGATGGTTCTTGCTTGATTCTAACAACATCTTGTAGGACTCGCCTTTCTGCCTGGGAGTCCATGGCTGATGTTGTGTGAATGGAAAGGAGTCGGGGGCATACCTCCGTTAGTCTAGGTCGGCAGCAGCTTTTTCTTTGTTGTAGTAAGGATAGCCTAGCGATGTTCCTTTCTCAACCTCTTGGCCCAGTAAGCCTCGCATGTTTCAGTATCGCATTGTGTTTGTCGCCCGCCCCGTTATTCTCAGACGTGCGTGACTGAGGCAGGGCCGGTCGTAGTCATGTGAATTGATGTCGGATATGGGCGGGTTTGAGGGGTTGCGCCGTCATCACACTGCATGACGGCAGTAGTCAAGATGCGTTGCATACATGCATACTCTATGCAGGTTCAGATAATGCTATTCGAGTTGTTGAGACAAGGGAGTTGGAGGCGCCAGCTCGGCTGTCCAGCTTGCGATGGTTTACCCGCCCCACGCGATGCTGTAGGATGGTGGTGCCGGGTCAAGCGCAACATGTGAATGGATGCTGAAGAGGTGCATAACGCTCACCGGTTGTGATAGCCGTTCCCTTGGGTTTCAGCATTGGCATTGGCGTGACTCTATGCCCAACTGGGCCCACCGATACTTGCGGCCGTGCGTCCACGTTGCTGACCACGTGGGCATGCAGGGCATGCATCCCATCTCGTTCAGTCCCATGCAAGGGCGCTTGGACAGGTTCAACGGCGCTATCGCGTTGACACTCTTGACACTCTACTGACGATCAGCGCCCGACGATTCCTTCTGGTCGAGTAAGCTGACTGCACGCAGTCCGCCTGGGAAGCCGATCGGAAAATCTTCAACTCCTTTGGGAGACGCGGGACCAAACAATAATAAGAGATGAAGAAAGAGGCATCGGGCAGGAGCTAAGACCGCAGAAAGGTGGGTTGGTGATATCAGCGCAAATGCAAAGTAAACGGCAAATCTTCCCGCGGCATCATTCGGAGGCGTACAGACAGATGACATGTCAAGGGTCCCGACGAACCCAGAGCGGCTCATTACGACATGACGTTGGTTGATAGCTACTATTCTGCCGATGGCCAAGGGCATGGGCGAGCTGAATAGCTGGGACTAGCTGCAGTGCTTTAAAAGGGGGGGTCTAGGGTGCACTTGAAGATGGCCAAAGAAAAAGAAAAGAAGACACCCCACCTTGACTGACTGGTGCTAATGGATTGATTGACCCGTCGAGACTGGGGCTGCCCAGCCCAGAGCCCGTCAAGATAGGAGGTTCTGCAACGTATGGAGCAACCAAGGGGTGGTGGTGTGTGGTCACAGGAGGGCTTGTTGCGATGCGGGCCGTTGATGGGGTACAACCACTCAGGCGCGCCCTCGCACACGCGTACCGGTGGGTTTCTCCCCTCCCCAGGGCACCAAGGCCGGTAGCGGCGGCCAAAGTGGGTTCCCGCACAAGGAAAAACGTGGCTGAGGCGCTGTAGAGGCTGTAAGTGGGCTGCAGGCTGTCATGGGCATTTGGGTAGTCATGACGCCTGCGTGGGCATTGTACGAGAGTGGCCGCCGGCATTCACAGAAGACCGGCCGACGGAGCCATGGGAGAGGCGTCGTAGGAGCTGGTTGGACATGAGTCTGTACGTGTGTATATTGCACACATGGATAGATGCAGTCTGGTGCTGGAGAGATTGTCTTGATGCATGACTCCTGTCTTCATCTCACTGTGCGTGCCACTCCGCCCACACGGCCGGGGCACCAACACCACGACAGCGAGGCCAGGCTCGTGTCTGCTGTCTGGCGGTGCCGAGAGAGGGGGCATTGTACATGTCTGTGTGTATAGATGCTCGATGCGTGCATGTGGTGTGCACAGCAGCATCTGATGCCGGCGGCGCAACCTCTGCAACCTTTGGCTAGCATGGCCCCCCTGCCGGTAGATCTTGTCTACTCGGGCCACTCCCTTGCCCGTCTAGGTCCTTTGAAACAAGCGAGGCGCGACGCTGGGCCAGCTTTGTCGACGTTCCATCTGTTGTCGCCTTCTGTTCACCAGGTAGCGGCCTCCTCTCGAATCCATCTCCTGCTCCGGTCTTTGCCGTCACCGCCGCGTCTCACGCTTGCCGTGGTATTAGTACGGCGGCCGTCCCCCAAACCACTTCTGTCACCACTACTGCCACTACTACCACTTGCTACTCCACACCACCAACCCACTCCCTACCGCCCTCGACTGCCAACTTTTCAGCCCGCACCATGACCAACTCGCTTGAGTCTTCACGGCCCATACTTGCCAACGTAAGCTATTTTCCCGTCCCTACGTACCCACTGCTCGTTTCAGACATGCCCTAGGCCTGGCCGGTGCGTGCCTATGCACCACCTGCACTCTTGGGCCCATCATACTAGCTCTCTCATCCCCTCTGCACTTTTCTTGCACTTGCTCTTCTTCCCACATCGCTCCCGCTTCCCTCCCAAACTTTCACCGCACCCACAGCATCAGCAACAACACAATACACCCGTCCCTCAAACATGTCCCAACAAGAACAGTCTAACGACAAGAAACCCCAGAGCACCGCCAAACGCGCCTCCACCCGCATGTCCACCTGCAGCGCCGCACCCACTCTGGCTCCCTCAATTGCGCCCTCGCACCTTTCCGAAGCCTCGTCAACCGCCGGCGATCCCAAGTCGCAAGACATCAAGTCATGGAACGCCGGCTTTAACCGTCTCGAGGACAAGCGTTTGGTTCAACAACGATACGCCATGAGCAACGAGAAGACAGACGACATGAGCAAGCTGGCGCTGGGAGCCAAACTTGACCGCGCCCTCGGCCGACGCATGTCGGGCCAGGACGCTGTCTTCCGACCGAGAGCCCTCAGCGAAAAGAAGGAAGTCCAGGCGTAGAGGCTCACCAGACGAAACTCTGTTACTCTGCGCCCTGAACATTCACATATACCGCGATTCGATATCCCACACCGGCGGTTTCCAACCTATCGCCCAGCATTTCTTTGCCCCGATGTAGGCATTTCTTAAGGCTCTCCGTGCCAAATACACATACGGCACCAGGCACATGTTTTTTTTCGGGAGGGGGAGGGTGATCACGCAAATGAATGCTACGGCATGACGCACGCGAACTGGTATTTCCATCTGTCGCTGGTTGCAGATTTGGTTTAGCGCGGCATATACATCGGATATGGCGGACCATGGTTGCTGCCCGGTGCTACCGAGTCAGGACATTATCACCGGGTTCGCAGGGCATTTGGTAGCATGGACAGGGGACTGGATCGGGGGGTACTGGGGCTCGACATTACACCTATGGCATTATACCTTTTCTCCGCACTACTAATCACTTTTTTCCTGTTTTCTTCTTTTTCTCGCTTGTTTCCCCGTGTGCTCCCTGGGTGGTGGGGTCACGGCTATGTTTCCAGGTTTCTTCGCCTATGTACATGTACCTTGATATCAAATGAACAAACCGGCCGCCGCAACGCTCCTACCCCTCACACGGTGAATATAATTTGAAGTAGTGCATTCACTCGACTGACTTTATGTGTCAGCATGTTAACACAGTCTAGGCAATAAATGATAATTCCCGTCCTAATCACTTTACATGTACAAATAAACTCTACCACCACCTCCCCCTTACACTAAAAAAAGCCACACCGATCAACCATTCTTCCTAACACTTTATTCCCAGCGCCCCCCCCCCCCCCCCCATTTTCGAATCTACTCTTTAGCTCCCCGATCTCACCCTGTAGATCCCCCAAATCCAAATCCAAATCCGATTCAATTACACTTTTTTTTACCGCCCCTTAGTGTCAATACGCTAACACACACACACATCTTTTTGTAATTGGATACTTTTCATCGCTACAATTTCCCAAACGGGAAGCAAAAGTCATGCTGCAAAATTCATAGCTTAAAATGGGCAAGTCCGCTATCGCTTTGAAGCACTAGCTGAATAAAAGGGTGAATGGGGGGGTTGTGATCGGCTTAGGTTTTAGGGTTGTTAAAAATACTAGACTAAAGGGAAAAAGAGAGAGATACTAGATTCATTGTGGGTGGTGTTGGGGGCCGAGTCTTATGTTTGAGGTCATGCGTGACTGGAGTGGGGCCGAAGGGGAGGTGCAAAGTGTTGTTGTTACGATTGGTATGTATGTAAGAGGCGTATGTGTATGTACTTCTTGGTGACAAAGTCGTCATTTGTATAGTAAGGTTTTCTTTTTTTTTGAAACGGTTAATAGTCTTGAGGAAAGGAAATCTGATTATTGTTCAATACACTTTGTACAGCTCTTTTTTTTCTGTATTGGGTAGGTGCAAGCGTGTAATGGAATTGGTTGGAGCTCGGAGGGTCGTATTCCACGTTGACAAAGTGATCCTCTGTGAAATCTGAGATCTTGAAACACATTGAGGATTTACGGCCCAAGTTCAGCTCTTGGATGGATCGTGGCTGGATGCCGAATAGACATGTTCGCGCTGTGTTTTTGTTGGGCGCCGTGAAAGTGGTATCATCTCATCTCCATCCCAAGTCGAATCTTGCGGACCAAACCCTCGCCTTGTATATCTCACCCTCTTATTGAAACATGGTCAGAACCTCCACTCCGAATGTATTCATCTGTAACCCCCTTCTTCTTCCCCCCCCCCCCCCCCTTTCCACGTTTGGTCTCCATCTCCGTGAGCGATAGCCGCTTACCAGAACCGACCAGTCTTCCTCCTCTCATTTGCCAACTCCAGCTGTTCCCGTATGCCCCTCAACTCACTCCTGTGATTCTGATGCATTTCCTCCAACAACGTCGCATGCTCCTTCTTCAGCTGGACAAACTCCTCTTCAAGCTTCTCGTGCCATGGGTAGAGAACGAAGATCTGGAAACAGAGCGCAGACGATCCAATGACAAAGTTTGTCAAAGAAAAGGTTTTTGTTATCATCATTTCAAAGTGCCGAAGAATCTCGAACCAGCCTAACAAGCGTTGGAAAGCGACTGGCAATCTGACAATGTTGCAATGCGCAAAGAATAAAATAAATACGAGGTCTGTGGGGCGGCCGATATATATTCAAAACAGTCCAAGAGCGCAGAGAAAATGAAAGTGGTCCAAGATGGCCCAGGAGAGGAATGTATAACCAGCCAGGAAAGAGAAGAGAATTTTGGAGACGAACGCGTGTGAAAAAAAAGGACAATAAAACTTAAAAACAGCCGAACCACCAAGAGCTCTGATACTTAAAGTAGCTTACCGCTCTGAAAAAAACAGCCCATTGATAAAGTCACATGGAAAGCTGACCCCATCCTTTCACGCTGTCCTGGGCTTCAAAGTGGCATGATGGGTTTCCCTTTTAGGCCAAACAGGACTAAGGCCCGATGGAAAATCAGACCACAACACGAAACGAACGGCACCTGAACCGTAGGTGTGCTGCCGCGTCACCAGAGGTCGTGTGCCTCTTATTGCAAAACAACTCAGATTGATTGCGAATAGAGAGGTGGCACATGGAGTCAAGTGTTGCGGCTAATGTTAGAGCCGGACGCCCCGGGTATAAGGGCGTGCGGAAATGAGGGCTGCCATGCAACTGTGGCGCCGACTAACGTGGCATCTCGCTACTTAATGGATCGTAAGCATCTTGCTAGCTTACAGTCTACGTGAATGCCACCATACCTCTTCACCGCAAGACATTGATGAGTTCGCCGTTCGAGTATGCCAAATAAAATACATGGGTAGGAGCAAAGATCACGTGCCGCTGCAATCATCCCTTCCTCTGGACCCTGAGACCATGCTTCCGACAACCAAGATACTCTTGTTGTCGAAGCAAATTCTATGAAAACGACTTGGTACTCTGCTTCTAAAATCTCGATGCGAAACGTGACATGTCAGTACGAGTCAAATTCCAAGACTATGGTAATGCGATCGATGCCAAGATAGGTAGATCGTTTTGTAATGTACCTACCCAGGACGATCTAGCACGTTTCCAAGATATATGTAACACTAGACCAGCGGCCCTAGTAGTATATAAAACTACAATACTTAGTCGGTAGGAGCTGTGACTAGAGATGCGAACGTATGGGACACGAGCAGAGCCTCATTATGTCCTGTACACTACAATGTCCTTTTGCTAGACAGTACAAGTATACTGGGCTCTCTCTCTCTCTCATTTCGGATAGGTACGAACCTTAGGCAGTCATACCATGGTCTGAATGTCATTTCATTGCGCGCGACAGGGAAGGCAATGCCTTTGCATAACCCCGCGATTCATATGCTGGAACATGTCCATATCCTACCCCTCTTCTCACTCCCGTACCTGCTGCCATGAAATCCACATCTCGCAAGTACTCATGTGCGCTGCAACGCCCCGTACATATGTATGTGTTGCAACACAAGGAAACTACACTATCCGAACTCTCCATAAACTCGGGAACCGTCCATGCTTACGTTACATCCAAAATACCCCCTTCAGATCTGGCAAGTAAAGCGTCTTTTTCTTCTCTCTCTCGCCCGTAGCATTCCGAATATCAAACAAGGGGGGGGGGGGGGGGGTGTTCCGGCACGGGAAGGAATCGCTTACTACATGACAGATAAGCTTATATATGACGCGGATGCTTACACCGCCGAAGGAAAGGGAGAATCGGAGTGAAGAGGGTTATTATATCCGAGGTCAGACCTCGGGGTTGGGGGTGTGAGCCGGTTTAGGTAGGAGTAAGCGTAGCGGGTAAAATGTACGGCAGCGGAAAAAAACTTGTCTTGGTAAGGCTGGGATATCTGTAGAGAGGAACTAACTGCAGGGTTCCTTGGGTTTTTGTGCTGTCTTTGCTTGGTAGTTGCATGGGGACCGTGCCAGAGAGGGATGTTTCGTTTGCGCTGCTTTGAACGTGCGGGTGGATTACTTACTACTTCCTATATGACTAGGCAATCACGAGCAAGACTCGCTCTCATTTTCTTTTTGTGGGTATAGATCTAATCAGAAGTCGTGTGGTATAGGCTGCTTTGCTTACTTTGCGCAAATAAGGTTTCTGTAGGCGCCGGACCGGATACTTGGGAGACTCTATAAATGTTCATTTATACTTCAAGCACACGAATTTGGAATCATTTTGATCACTGATACTGGCAATTCCAGACTTGATGAGCAGCTCAGGTGATGTCAGCAAATGTCTCTGCACAAGTCCGGCGGCTTACCCATTGGTAGAAATACTTGCTGTGCAACTTCCCAGCCCTACCAAGGATGGACTCATGATTTGAGGTAGTTTAACGCACCTGTATATATAAAATTTACCAGGATGTATGCCAACGGCTGGGATTGTTAAAGTTGTATGCATCACTGTCACTGCCAGTTGACCAACCGGATGGAAGCTAACGTACCTCCTCTTACTAGTGGTGAAGCTCCATGGATGCAGCTCCAGTCATAACCGCGTTGCTTAAGCATTCATTTAAAATAACTTCGTCTCGTAAATTCCGAGATCCTGAAATTACGGGAATATCACCAATTCCATTTCTTGTGGTTTTAACTGGCGGGCTAAGTGAGGCGGCCATGTCACTCGCCCAGGCTAGCATAAAATGGTTTTCGTCGCGGGAAGAATCAAGGAGGCTACAGTGAAACCTGGTACTATTTCGAGCTCACTGGATTCTGGAAATAGATGCAATGGCACCCCTATTTACCGCCATTGTAGGGTTCTCCCACGACTCGACTGCACCCTGCTCGTCCCTCGCATCGCTGTTTGATGTGCGAGCTGCCAACAACTAGACTCTTTGTGCCAAGTTAGCGCTCTGGCTGCGGGGAAGACGACGTACTCTGGAGTCCAGATTCCGGTAGAGATGGGATATGACTGCATGACGTCGGCTCCTTTCAATCAAAGCAATACTATCCAATTGGTCGGTAGCATTGAGCCTTACACCAAACTCCAGAGCGTCATTCCCTGTCCCTCTCGTCTCTGTTTCTGATGATGTTAAGGAGTCTCCAAAACCTTACGTGTACGATGACATTTTGATTGAATTGTTGAACAAAATCACTTGGACACCATCGTATATTCCCTGTATTAGCAGCCAGGTTCGCCACATGGATCATGATGGAGAATTATTTCCTGGCCTAAGAACGCATCTCACATCTATGGGACTTCCAACAACCAGACGTAATACAAACTGTAACGGGCCATCCCTTCGAAAATGTTCAACTAATATCACCAGTGTGCCATTGGAGAATTGGAAGCAACAACATGGCGCTGTTAAGAACAAGGGTATAGATTTCACCAACCTCGTAAGATGGAACACCGCGAAGGAATACATTTATGGCAGTGACCTGATTTCCAACTATAAGCAGCTTTTTGCGACTGAAGACGTGATCATGGTCACTGGCACCATGTGCAGCTCAGCGTGCAGCATATCGGCTGACCTAATGCGAAAGCGTGCTGGCGTTAGGAAGGTTGCGCTTGAAGGCCAACCGCGGAAGGACACGATGCATGTCATATGCAGTACCGGAGGAACTGACTACTTCGATTAGGGGCGACGTCCACAACATTGGCAAAATAGGTCATCGCCAACCTGATAAGTACGCCCGAAGAAGCTGCCCGTTCCAACAAGAAGGAACTCGATACGAGTGCGGCTGGGAAGTCTGTCGCCGACAGTGCTTGGTTGGGCAGGAACTTTCGTATTGTTGGTAGTGTTACTTTGCACTATCCGACTATTCGTAAGCGCGAACTCAGCTTTGAGGAGAAGGATCACAACAAGGTGGAGCAATGAAGGGCTCCACGCAAGATTGCCGATTACTTGCTTGATACTCAGAACTTACACTGTTCCTGCTCATCCGGGCTTAGGCATTCAGTTGACGCAGTATGCTGCCATGAGCAGGAAACAATCGTACTCGTAATTACGCAGCGAAAGACCAGCTTTGATGTCACGTAGTTGGACGTCTTTGACCCACCTAACTCCAGAGTAATGCAAATGTGTATCTTAGCTTCGTTTGTGCTTACAACCTCGTGTCTCTCCTCAGTCAAATTACGCAGTTATCTCGATTCCCCGATACAGTCCACTATTTCCTGACTCGCCCGCATGACACACACACATACACAACCGACTCCGTATCAATTCCCACCAAACCAACCAACCCCCTCCCTCGTCATCCACATCACAAACCCACCCACCCTCTCATTGCATCTCGATTCCACAAAATCTCGATTCCGCAAAAATGTAGAGAGAGGTAGATAGCGGAAGAAAACGACTAAAAGCATCTTCGATGCAAAACAAACAAAAAACGCAAAAAAAAACTAAGGCATGATACTAAAGGCAAATAGTTTACTTTACCCCAACAGCAAGTCGTGCTGCGTCGCGCGCGCGCGCCCCCCTCCTCACCTCGTATTACCCAAAAGGCCAACTAACCTACGCCATTTCCATCGCGCGATTGCCCGCCCCGGCAGTTCCAGCACAAACAAACCAAGCTACACAAAAACTCATAGCCAAAAAAAAAGAATCCTGCACCTCGGCACATGATCGAACCTTTCTTCTCTCTCCGCGCGCACCCGCGCATGTGCATGCCAAGCCGCAAACCTTCAAATGATCACTAAACAAAGAAAAAAAAATATATACTACTAAGATTAAGTTTGATAGTAGTTGGATAGATAGAAAGAAAGGACAATGAATCACCCGATGCCCTGCATGAAGCACTGACACTTTCCATAGCTTATATGGAGGATACTATAAAGTAGTTTGTGTTTTGCAATCCTACGCTATCCATATTTGCGCACCAACGACAACAACCACCCCCCAGTCTCTTCCCGCTATGCACGGCATTTTGGTGCTGCTGGAGAAAATTAGACTTACTTACTAGATTTAGTATGTATTTTAGGTGGAGATAAACGTGGGTAAGGGGGGGGGGGTTTACATGAATAAGTCGGCCCGGGAAAAGCGGAGTTTTAAACCCATGTCTCCATACATAAGAGGGGCCTTTTTTTTTACTTAACAGTTTGCTGCATAAAACAAAAGAGCTGTTTGATGCCTGGGCAGACTTTAATTGTGGTGCGAAAGGCAAAAAGGGCGGATTGGTATGGTACGGGTTAGGAAATGAACATGGGTTACTCGGGGCAACATTGGGCTAAGAGGAGACTTTTGCTGGTTGCTGGGTAAAGTGGCCGGATGTAGCGCGTAGAATTAAATAAAGGAAGGTGATATACCTTTTTTTTGGCTTCTTGTCTTCTTGCGACAACGTGTGGATTACTCGACATGGTAGTGTGAAGAAGGGGAAGGTGAGGAGAGTCAGATGCGGAAATGGAAGGGCCCAGACCGGTGTGGAGACTTGTCTTTTGCGGAAAAAAAGAGAGTCAGGTTCATGCGGGTTACGTAGCGCATGGGAAAAACAAGGGATAGAAGCAAGGCCGTTTATTTTTCTTGCTTGCAGCTTGATTTTTTTCTTGCGTAAGTTGGTCGCTAGCACAGATCTAACCTAGAAGACTGCGAAGCTAGCGGGCTTGGCCTTATCTAAACTCCGACGAGTTGAGGCGTTTGTGATGCGACTTGAGGAGCTGAATGGTGTGTTCTCGACATGCATCGTACCGCATGCTAGAGAGCGAATAAGGTTGGCGGGAATAGCTTAGGTCAAGGGTGGGTGAGAAAGAAAACATAATGGCAAACGCGGGCTGTTTGAAGGAAGCGTAGCGATTTTTTTACTTTACCCGGGGTGCTGGGACCTGTTCGTCCTCGTCGATGGCAGAGGGTTATGCATCGGCATCGGCACGGGTTGGTTCCCGTTGCAGATCAAGACGGAAGCGTGGATGCGGGCGGTTTGGCCATTACGACTATGATGCCTGTCCATCTCGATTCCCTTTTAAAGTCTGCAGAAACAAAGGACGGAAGACGCCCCAAAAACAGTAGTCAAACAGCGCCAGGGCGGGTGGAAAAAAAGGTGCGCACGGACGGCGGGAAATAAGACCCATCGACATCGGATACGGGAGATCTTCGATGGCCGCCTGACATCGTCGATGTGTCAAAGACGGAGAATGTGCGCGGGGTTACCAACGCCAAGAGGGTTTGGGGAAAGGCCCCAAGTGTCATAGTTTGGAGCAAGAGGTAATGGACGGGTGACACGATAGGGCTGCGCGTTTGCGTGCTTGTTAGTCAAGTGAGGTGATAATGCGACACTCTGCGATGATGTGATTTGGCGAGTGAGGCAAATGTCACTGCAGGCTCCGACCCAGTGGAGATCCCATGACGGCACATGTCGCAAGCGCCGCGCCAGGAGAGAAGAAGAGAGTGAAGCAGAAGTGCCAGCGGAGGGATGATACCTGTTAGGCCCAGGAAACCTCATCGCGAGATCTCGACACATGCGAAACACACTTGTGCGGTTGTGTTTCCCCTCTTCTCGCCATCTCGTTATCCCCGGATGCGCAACCAAAGTCGTGGACATTAACGGATCGATAGCAGGATCTCGATAACCCAATAAGGTTTTTTTGGGGGGAACACCAGCAAACAGACCTCCCGCCCATGCATATAACAAACTGGTCCAGCGAACCTTGTTGCAACGAAGTTTATCTGGGGAGAGGGCAGGCAGCCAACGATGCGCTGCGGAAGGGCGTCTGACACCAACATTGGACGCTGGAAGCCTTTCTCGTGATTGGGCAGTTTGTTTGCGATCCCGCGATCTCTGGCTCAAAGTCCGGGTCCGCAAAAAGCCTGCATATTGGATGTGCATATGGATGTGTGTGCGTGCGTGAGCGAGCAAGCGAGTGGGAGAGGGTCGAGAAAAGATAGTAGATAGGAGTAAACGCGGCTCCCAACCTGCATCCGAATCAGCCCGTCACGCGAAGGGGAAAAGGCTTTGTCGATTGAAGGGAAAAGCGGGACGATGGTGGCGTCGCATGTGCACACAAACACCCCACTCTTTTCTTTCCCTCTCTTTCTTCTCTTGTCGATGGGAGCAAAGGGCGTGAGGATCGCGATGGGTATCGAATTTTACACAATTGCCATACCCACAATTAATCTGGGGCGGGCGATCTCATCAGGCCAATTACGTGCATATGGGAAGGGCGATTGCGCTTAGCGAACGCCACCTTGGCAGAAGGGACGTGTTATGTAAGTCGACTTTTGCGCGTGCTCCGTGCCAAACCCCCTACGCTGCAAAGGACCAAGAAAAGCGCCTGGCCTGCTACCAATACCGTGCTCTGCTCAGATCCTAACGCTCCGGCATAACAAAGACGTGGCAGTGCGATCAGCGGCGAGCATTGCGCATCTGCATCGGCGATGAAGATGCAACAAGGAGGTGCGACTCTAGACTGTAGCGGGCAAACATCTACACGCCCTGCACGGAAGCGTACGCCATTACAATTGATGAGGGACTGCACGCGGAGAATAGAGTGAGATAAAGGTGGGGCTCTATGACGGGAGTGCGACGCGAGACAGCGGCCAGTGGGTTGCGCGGGGGGGGGGGGGCGAAGAATGTTTTGCAATGCCTTCATTCTGACGTGCCTAATGCCATGCAATATTGCGCGTCCATGTCAAGTCGTCGTAGCCATCGTCAATCTTTGTCGTGGTTGCACATTGCTTGCGTCAATTTGCTAGCGGCCAATGTTCAGCCACCGTGGCCGGCTCTTGTCCAAATGCGGATGCGCGTGCATAGCATGCGAATATGGACATGGTGTATGAGTAGAGAGCGACCAAGTACAGTTGGGTCTACAGCCGTTGGAGGTTTAGTGTGGCTGTCCCCCCCATGCATGCTCTTGTGAAGTTTCCAGCAATCGGCGGATGCTGTGTGGACATTGGACGGGGGCTTGGCAGGTACTAGTTGTTCCCCACTGACAGCCTATCACTGCACCCCATCACTTCAGCCCGACACCAGGCGCACCACTTGGACAGACACTGCCGTGCCGGCTCACTTGCCGAACAACGACAATGCAATGCACTCAATCAATCTAGACACTACTTGAAACACTCTTGTATACAATGGCAAGGGGGGTATCATATTTCTCTCTCTTCTCTCATGGTCAAACAGGCCGGCTATAGTGCAGCGTGATGCTGCAAAGTCCAGCTCTACATAGAGTTGGCTTGGCGCTCAATGCGCCCATGTTCCTCCCTGTCTCGTGCAGATAGCAGCAACCAGGTACTGTGTACCAGCTGATGGGCATCAATATACGCTGCCAACGCTCCTTCCCCTCTTTCCTCTAACCACAGTTCCTTTCTCGGTCCTCTCTAGTGGTGGCGCTTCATAATCATGCGCTCGGTCCTATTTCCTCGGTGCCAATGTTTTCCAAGCTACGGCTGAACATGCAGGTGGCAGTGCCAGCAATGGGGTGATAGTGATAGTCGCAGTAGTGACGGGCGCCTTGATGGCACAGACATGTGCATGCAAGAGTGTTTGTGGTAAAGAAGCTGTCGAGCCATGCATGCACGAGGTAGTGGATGGATGGACGCATCCAGGCAGCGGAGCAGCGGCCTAGCCGCGTCGGTGTACTTGTAGCGAACAGTGTGGGGCGGCCAGGGGACAGGCTTCAGCCAGCGCTGTAGCCAGTCATCCTAGCGCAGTGGCTGCAGTAGTAGCGGTTGGTGCCAATCTGGTACATGTTGGCCAGGCACTGGCGGCGGCAGCGGCAACACGACAGCGTCGACGGAGGCGTGTAGTTGGAACTGGAGGCCGAGCTGTTGGAGCTGCTGGACGAGGCACTTGAGGCGCGGTGCTGTGGCTGGAGAGGATCTGGCGAGGGGCGGTGCGAGGCGTCGGTTTGCAGTTGCAGCAGACGCTCCGCGTCGGCGTCGGGGGACATGGACGACGGAGGGCCTGGACGGAAGGCCAGCAGTGGGTGGGCGGGGTCTGAGGGCGTGCAGGCCTGGTACTCGGACACCGGGCTGGTCGAGGGCGTCTCTGCGGAAAAGTGTGCGGCGGGCAGGATGCTGAAGTAGCAGAGCGACGGGGTGGTGGATAGGGTGGTGGATAGGGTGGTGGGCAGGGTGGACAGGTCGTCTGAAGCGAGGTGATGTGCCGTCATGGTCTGTCGAGTGGATGTCTCTGTGCTCTTGGTGACGGGGGGCGTGAATCAGCGGACAGTACGAGGGATCGCAGCCGGGTAGATATATGCTCGCACAGCACATCGGACGATGGGCCAGGGCCAGACGAGCAGTGATTGGCATGTGGCTGGGCGTGCGACTGCGACGGTGCCGGGCTCCCCAGGGCTCCCCAGGGCTCCCAAGGGCTCTTCACACGGCCTGGCTGCCTTGGGTTACCGGCTGAGCGAGGGCGTGCAACTGGCGATCCAGGGTGTGGTCTCGATCCCGGCCTCCCTTGCACCGCCGCCCAATGCAGATGGAATGGCCACCTGCCCACTCCTCACCCTCACGCTGGCTGTCTGGCCGTCCGAGGCGTCTGCTAGTTTCTGCTTGCTGCTAGCTGCTGCTAGTCGACATCGAGATCAAGCCCACACGCACACACACATCGCCGCCACCTCTGGCCGCACCCACAAACTGAAACTGAACATGCACGCTTGCTCCCGCCCCGTCGCTGCCCACTGCCACAGCCGTTTCGCCCTCCGGACCACGTCCTCGCCCTCGCCCTCGCCCTCACTCAATGCCGGCTGCTTACGGCTGACTGTGTACATCCACACTACTATGCGGCCGACTGACTGACGGACTGACGGACTGAGCGGACTGAACGGACTGAATGCGCGCGTGCGTACGTGCCTGGCACAGCCCCCCGCTGTCTGTTGCTCAGCAACCCACGGCTTGCGCAACCACCGACCGCAGCCGTCCGTCGTCGCATCCTTATACCAAACAGACCTAATCAACTCACATGCCCCAGCCCGGAACGCCCGCTTCGCCCACTGCTCCGAAGTAACCCGCGTATGCCTACTACTGTATACTTACTGTATTGCTACCCACCCCCTCCTCTCCGCTTGCCGACCCCACCGGCCCTTTGCCCAACACCACCTGCACCTCTGCCCGTCGACAAACCCGTTCCCCATGTGGTAGTTTCTCTCCCAGCCATGGATTCCAGCTCCCACCGCGGACTTTGCGGCCGCCATTCTCGCACCCTATGGTTGTTCGCCCATTGTCGGCCTCTTAGCGGGCCGAACCGTTGGCTCGCGGTCTAGATCCACGGCCGTGAACACCAGGTCACGTTGTAGGAACCGCCTTGAACATGCCAGGCCCCTGCACTATGACTAGCACTGCCTTAGCAGCAGCAAGCAAGCAAGTCAAGACGGAAGGCGCTTTTCCACTCATCCATTGCTTGCATATACTACTTACACATCTCCCCCAACTTTTGCCCCCACCCACCCGCTGCTCCATCCCCTAACCATCCCCTAACCATCCATCTTGTCTGCCCTGCTCAAAACGGGATCAATTTTCTTCCATATTTCACCGCTTCATCAAACATGCGACTGTGCCAGACATGCCCGGCCCCCGCCTGCCTACCATGGCGTTTCAAACAGCACGGGACAAACGGCACTCTACCCATGGCTCCGCCGCTCTAAACCTTGCCTCACATCTCGGAGGCATTCTGCCCAGTGATACTCGCTCGTTGCGTGTTTCAATGTCGACGTGGACCTGCATAAAGGCGCTCCCAGCAGTCGACCTTGGGTCGCAATCACACTCCTCAGGGTGCGCCTTCAACCGTGCGTTGCATGGCCTAGCCCTGCACGCCCCGTGCAACAATGCCTCTGTTGAATAACTTCCATTTGGTCCAAGCAAAACAGCGCACCATCTTGTGGCAACCATTCATTGGAGCGTCGCCCGTTATCGTCCTCTATACCCCTTTTTCCCTGAAAAGTCTGGGCTTGGGACCGCCTTGTATGTTTTTGGTACAGGATCTGCCTCGCTTTGTCCGAACCGAGAGGCTTTTCCTTCGTGCCTAGCCACTATCCACCTGAGCGCTCCCATTGAAACTATACATGGTCTGATCTGAGCCTCGCACTTGCACCATGTTTCCGGCAGTTGACGGGTCCTAGTAAACACCGTATTCTTGGCCAATATACCTATTCCCGGTCAGGAATATGCTTATTGCTTTTTCTCGGGTGACAAAAAGCAAGTCAAGAGGTAGACGTGGTTCTTTGTGGTTCGAACATGCACAATGCACATCGTTCCTCTGGACCATGTTTTAGGTATAGTAGTGCACTCAAACGTGCTCACAAATGTCTGGTACACGATGCTCCCAAAATCTTGCTCGACATGCAGTAGAGTGAAAAAGCAGACAAAGGAGCCACAGTTTGCAACCCCCTCCCTCTCATTCTAGCCTACCGCCAGATGGGCACACATGCACCGACTACGAGTTGGCGTACAGCGGAATGCACGCACGCCCATTCCCATCCGTTTTCTCTAGCCCACCGGCTTTCAGCATGTCTCCCCGGCTCGATAGAGTACATACATATACGTCGTGCACATGTGTTGATGTAGAGTAGCGGGGACAAATCACATGACTGCATCATGGGCTAGACCTAAATGCCTCCCGTTGTCCAAACGTTCTTCATTGGTGGCTTGACGGTGACGGTCATGTGCAGTGCTCACCTGTCTGCTGTAGAAAAATATACTTCTGTTGCTGTTCTTTCCATCCTCTCACCAGGGCTTCTTGAATGTCTTGTTCTGGCGCCTTGCGATAGCCCTAATAATCGCGCAAATCGCGCCATGACAGGCCAGAGAGCAATGCGACGTCTGCCACGGAAACAGCTGCACGGGTTGCTCAAAATGAACGCCGGCTACGAGGGGCGACTGCACCTCGATTTCATCTCGTAGGCAGTCCCCCACCCCTTCTTCGTTATCAGCTCCGTCTTTTCTCTCCGTGTTGTTTTTACGTAGAGTCGACGAAACCAGTCAAGCAACCGCTGCGCACGTCACTATCGTCACTGGCCCGCTACACGAAATACCGGCAAATAGCCCCACCACCAGGCCAACCCCTCCACCGCGCGCCTGCAAACTTCACTCCACCAACACTATACACACACACACACACATACACACACACTTTCGCACAATGGGAAAGCCTCCGAATCTATACGCCTTTCAGAGTGCCGCCGAGCTTGCCCCAAGCCTGCGTGCTTACGTGCTCGATGCCCAAAATGCCGCCCTCGACCGTCATCATGTCTTCCGTGTCGCAGTCTCCGGCGGCTCTCTGCCCAAGACGCTTGCGCGAGCGCTTCTGAAGGAGACCAATGGCGAAGGCAAGATCCAATTCGATAAATGGGAAATTTTCTATGCCGACGAGCGCGCCGTGCCACTCGACCATGAAGACAGCAACCACCGATTGGTCAAGGAGGAGCTTCTGGATAAGATACCGCAAGAATTAGGGACACCCAAGGTCTATCCAATCGACGTCAAATATCTCGACGATGTACAAGAACTTGCCGACCAGTACGAAAAGACGCTTGTCAGCGTTTTTGCTGCCCGCGACAGCGTAAAGCTACCATTGTTCGACCTGCTTCTACTGGGCTGCGGACCCGATGGACACACCTGCAGCTTGTTTCCAGGCTCTGACCTTCTGCGCGAAACCGAAGCATGGGTTCTCCCCATTTCCGATTCTCCGAAGCCTCCGCCAAAACGTATCACCATCTCGCTCCCCGTTGCGCAACACGGATTGAAGATTGCCTTTGTGGCAACTGGCGGAGGAAAGAAGGATATTATGCGCCAGATATTTGATACCGATGAGGGACAGCAGTTGCCGTGCGGTCTGGTGAACCACAAGGGCGGAGAGCGGGTAAGTTGGTTCGTTGACTACCCTGCTATCGAGGGCGTGTCTTTTCCAGCTCGTCGCGGCAGCTTGTGAGCATGAGGTTTGCAAAGTATCCTTTCTCACTCTGTGCTACGTCGCTTGCAGCGGCAAAGGCGGGACCTCTTTGCAATTGCATGTGCGTGACCCCCACTCGGAGTTGCATGCGGTTGTGCTTTCACGACAGGAAATCCATCATGTAGCTGGACGACCGCATCACCAAGTAAGCATTGTGTCAGGCAGTCAGCTTAGGTACAATAGACTACGAACCATCTACGACATTTTTCACTTAGTCTCAAAGCCCTCTGCTTTCATCGTCATACCTGAACAGCTATCGATAACAACCTCAGTCCCCTTTAGGCTTAGCGTTAGATGCCCCGAGCTTTGGCCCCGTCAACATCCCCATGTGTCGTGTGTTTGCAACTTGCTCGACAACGAACACCAGCCCAGCTTATCCACGACGATAACTTTGCCTGCGTCAACATGAGTGCTAAGCCTGTCTCACAAATAGGAAGGATCAGCAATGCACCTCCGCGGTCCCGGGTAATTTCCAGTCTCGCCTTATGGCCTGGCAAAACCTAACAGACGCCAGAATGCCGGTACTGTCGCCTCGTTGCAGAGTGATGCAGAGGGCGCGAAGCCTCGCAGCTTGCTTCCACAACCAGGGCAGCACAGATACAACACTCGCTCAAGTATCCTTCCGGAGCCTTCTGAGCCTGAGGCCGAGGACCTGAGCCCCAGCCCAAGTGATACCCAGTCACCGCCAAAGGTTACAACGTCAACACAAGAGGACCTGGCTGCAGGCGCGGCGCCGGGACGGCTTCGTCCACGAGCAGTGTACCAGCATGGTACTCCTTCGTCTCAATCGGCTGTTCAGGGTGACAAGACAAGCTCCCGCTCCATACGTCCACCTACTTCAGTAAGCAAACTTGCTGAGCCTCAAAAGATCGGGCTGGGCAGGTCTCAATCATTACGGAAGCCAGTTGCTACATCTCAGATAGGCCAGTCCTCAGCACTAAGCAGCCACGCTCGTACACAGTCTACTAGTACTATATCGACCGGGAGACGGGATCTTGCCAAGGCAACTGCCGGCACAGAGCGTCCCAAATCTATTTCCGCAGCACCAAGCCGTATTACAAAGGCCAGCAATACCTCTGCAGATACAGTACCTAGCACTTCCAGAATATCAGCAAGGACCACAGGATTAGGACGCACGGCAAGTGTCAGGACTAGGTCCGATGCACCAGCTGCTGTTGCTGGTAGTGGTGTGACATTCAAGTCTGAAGAACCTTCTGCGATTCAGCCAAAGCGGAAAGAGCCCGCTGTAGAGGAAGCTAAGAAGACCAGTCGGCCCGCTTTCAGTACCCTTCAACAGCACTTCACACCACGCAAGACCGGCAAAGCCCCGACTGCCTCATTCATTCACCCCGCTCCTCAGCCTGTATCTCATTCACTTCCTCCCGAGATAGTCAGTCTGCAGTCCGACCTACTTCAACTCCATCTTTTACATCGGTCATCTGCGGACGTGAGTCAGCGCTGGGAGCAGAGTGCAAAGCGTGCTTTGCACTCCAAGTTTGACGAGGTTGCTAGCTTGCATCAGGTCATGCTAGAAAATGAACGGACTGGTCAAGAACAGAAGAATCTCCAATCCTTACTTGAATGGAGCAATGGCGGCTCAACGGCAGGTTTAGTCGAACATGTTCAGATTCTCTCAGAACCTCTTCATGAGCTTCCGTCGCTGGTCGAGCCAGGCGGTCGTCTCCAGCGTCTTGTAGCAGATTTTGAGCAATGGATTTCGTGGGTGCAAGAGATACGGTCTGCCCGGGGAGGTCATGTTGGTGGAAGCAGTGCCCTTGGAACGATCGAAGGCCTCGGAGATTCATGGAAGGCGGAAACTGCAGCGCTGATCCGGAAGTTAACTGCATTCGCTAGTGATTTAGAGAGGCTGGCGCTACCGACGCCCGGATCGAGCATTGCATCCATGGTCGACGCATGCACCACCATCTTGCGTGGGATCCTAGAAGAGCTGCAGATAATGCAGAAGATAGAGGCTGAAGTCGTTTCAAGGGAGAGGCTTTGGGTGGAAGACCGTCTGCGGACCATTGCGCGGGACGTCGGCATGCATGCATCGGACAACGGAGGGGAGATGGCTGCTTGGAGAGATTAAGATTATGGATGGCCAAAGCCAGGTGGAAAGCATCCTTAAGGTTCTCCTTCACGTATACCCAAATATGCGCAAATGCATCTTCTGCCTATCAAGCGGCTCCCGCGGCATGTTTGCTCAAGGAAGCTTAGTCATAGTTGTTGTGCTGTACTACCGTGGCCAGACATGATTATCCATGACACATTCCAACATGCCTGTAGCACGCAACCAAGCGACAAGGATTCGGGTATGGCTAGCTGGACATTGCTAATGTATTACCGCTGCCTCTGAGGCTGGAAAATTACCGGCGCGGTTATCTTTTGAGGAATGCGCAAGTGCAGCAAAGACCAGACGGCAACGGGTTTCGGTTAGCTTCCATAAATGGCATGACAAGACTTCGGGAGGCCTTGTTTGTTTAAGAGTGACTAAGTAGCGCTAACCTCGTACAAGGTGGCACTCATCATTACCAACAATTATCCACCCATCTTACTCAGCACTCATCCCCACGCAACATCATCTCGTTGTTTGCTGTCATTGCCTTTGCTGGAATTTCACCACTTTCCGGACTCTAGTTGCACCACTCGGCATGTTTTTGCCAAGGCCAGCGGATTCAAAGTGTTGTTGCATCGACCCCCCCTTTCTCGTGACCAGCTCGCCCACCCAAGCACTTTTGTTATTTTAGTGGCCTCCTTTGCACAGATTTGGCTTCTCCTACTCGCGAGTTCTATGAATACAACCAGGGTATGATACAGCAGTGGCGTTGACTACTTGCTTACGTACTGGCGGTGCACTTTGGGTACACTGACAGTTCATGGTAGTGGCCTTCGCTCCAGGTAGTCCGCCACACTGAATGTACTACTGCGTTTCCAATGTGCGTTACGTTCGATTATCCACATGTGCTTCCGTTGTAGTGTTGGCGCCGTTCCGGGATAGGTTCCATATCCAGACGGCTGCTAAGTTTATGCGCAGCACTCGTCCCCTTTTTCCAGGCCTATACGCACGCGTTTCACCTGTCATTAGTAATCTCTCAGCACCTGCAAGGCCTTGAGAAGGCCTGTGGTGTTCTTCAAAATTGATCACTGCTGATACCCAAAAAGTAATTCGCAAGTCCGAATGGCGCGAGGCGGCGTCAGCATCTGCTCATAGAAGGCGAATACAAGGCCAGGTATATCCATGGACTCTCGTGCGGGCGATAAACGACCATGGGAGAACGAGGAAAGCATTAGCGTTCAAACAAAGCGTCGAAGCTCAATCCTGGCTGCCTCCCTTCCTCAGCAGGTTTCCCCGCTCCCGCCACAAGCCGGCTTCTTTGCTCGCGACAGCCCTGCTCTAGACCGTCGGGTACTGCCACCACTTCTCGCCTCTTCACACAGTATTTCAGCTTGCCCTGTCACTATCGCCTCACAGTGCTCGCCTCCACTGCCGCCACTCGGGTTGAGTAGATCTGAACGTGGACCTCATTCTCTTTTCGATGTTTTCGAACATCATCCAAGACAGAGTGCACACAAACACCACACAGGTACCATTATGTTTCTTTACTAGATGTAAATCATGCCAACCAAGAAGCTGGAGCACAGGCTATGATTATTATTCGTGTGTTGCTCTCCATCCATTCAAAGGACGGAATTGCGACTCGCTCATTCGTACTCGTAGCTGAAACGATTACAGAGCTCTCAACAATCCCTTCGCTGATTCCTGAACCGCGCGCCAGCCCGCCACGCGCCAAGCGGGCCGTGGATCCTGATCCTATTCCTCAGCAGGTGTCTGCACCAAGGCCAGTAACTTGTTGTCCACCTGATTGCAGGGGCCAGGTATGCTCAAATTCACGCTCTTTGATGCACAAACTTGCCACAGACCTGGGCGAGTTAGTACATAAAGTCAATGATCTGACGCGTACAGAGCTACAAGTCTTGTCTCAGGTAAGCGGTTCAATACGCATTCACACTTGCTGATAAGTAACGTCAGCCTCTGTTGAAGAAATGACAATGCTGATGCGCGCTAATAGCCACCCACCTCCAGTCACGCCAAGGTCGAAGAGTTACTGCAATGGGCTCTCGATCGCGTGCATGAGGGTAACATCCGACTGCAGGAGCACTTAGAGCAGGAGCCGATACATACCACGAGGTTACAATCTCCGCCCGAGGACTCGCCAGATATGCGGAGAGCCCAACACCATCTGGAGGAACGCGAGGAACAGTCTCCGCCGAGAAGACCGTACCCATTTCATCATGAGTATGGATATTCTACGCATTCCAATGCCTCTCCAGAGGACTCTAGAAGAAATCCCTATGGCATAGCGTCAATAGCTGTCGGGGGCTCGCCACAGCAAACAGCAGCGCCCTCTGGAGCAATGTACATGCTTCCACAATCACCACCAACACAGGCTACACAGCCAGTACACCCGACCATATTGCCTTCGCCATCGTCGCTAAACTTCTCAAGTTCTCAAAGCCTGTCGTCAATGACTCCGCCTATCACATACACTCACGCTTCGGCACAGAACACTCTCTTGCAGGACCTACAGCACCAGGTGACCATCAAGACGCTAGAATTCCGAACTCTCCAGCGCGAATACGACAATCTTCTCCAGAAACTCGAACGCCAGAAAACAAAATGCGCCACTCTTGAAAAGAAGTTTGAAGTCAGTGACTGTGAGATCAATAGTTTGACGGACGAAAAGGAAAAATTACAAAGTCAAGTGGTAGCCTTTGAAGGACAAGTCGAGGAGCTGCAGCAGAGCCGGGATGAAGCTCGACGCCAGTTGATTGCAAATGGAGCACAGTACATGCGCATCATGGAGATGGCAAATCGCCTGCAGTCTCAAGGAGCAGATGACAAGAAAAAATGGGACATAGAGAGGATGGAGTTGGAGCAGCGGATCCGCGTGCTTGAAGAAGCCATGGTGACTGGTGACCAGCATCACGTCACACTAACACCTGGCTCAGAACACCATGCAACCTCGAATTATTCCCCAGTACCGGGCGAATCGACGCCCCAGAATCATGCTCCTTCGTCCTCGTCGCAAACCGAGACTGTTAATGTTCTCCGAGCGGAAATTAATCGGCTCCGCTCCCGCACGCAGACACTCGAAAGTGCAGTCAGGACTATGCAGCGGGAAAGCAAATCGATTCAAACGGCGGCACAGCAGCTTGTGGATTCTAGTGAGAGAGTGAAGGATGCGGCACGGGATATAATAGGGGACGGCAAGTGAGGTTTGTCCACCAGTAGTTGATACCCAAGCAATCAAATTGTGGTCAGGGACCTTATTGGTACTCGGGTGCCATGTATCTTCATCGAAGATGGGATGGAATTTCCGGTGTCTCATCTATCATGTGTCTGACAAGTTTGGTTTGTTGTGATGGAGTAGGAGTTATGTTGCATTTTCTTACGTTGGAATACTTTATACATATATAAGTTGTCCGACATAATCCAGAGCAGTACGGGCGTTCTCATTTATAATGAATTTTTCTTTACATGTGAATATTACTGTTCCCAAGAACCCATCCTCGAAGAAGTCTTTGACGGTTCAGGCACTGAAAGTAAAGTACTATGTATCTCATCAAACCCGCTTACCAATGTAACCAGACATTTCCCCAGATATCTCCCCCCCCCCCAAGAAAACCAAAATATACAATCAAAGAAAAAAAAAGATCTCATTCGAACCCCAGCCCCACCAAACCCCATCCAAACAACCCCCATCCCTCAGTTCATAACCCCCCACTAGCGCCTTGGCACACTTTTTCCGAAAACACCTCCAACACCATTCCCACCCTCCCNAAAGATGTTCTCGAGAGCCCTCACCGTCCCCCTGCGCCGCGCGCTCCCCACGCGCGCCCCTCTCCTCACCCAGCGCACCACCACGCAACGCATGCACATCCACACGCCCAGCTGCAATTGCCTGCGCCCCAGCCTTTTCGCACGCCCCTCGCTGCCCACCAGCAACATTGGCAATCTCGCCTCGCGCTTCAATGGCCTGGGCCTCGGCCAGACGCGCGGCATGAAAGTCCGCAGCTCGGTCAAGAAACTGTGTGAAGGGTGCAAGAGCGTGCGCCGCAAAAAGGGTCGCTACGTGTATATTATTTGTTCCAAGAATCCAAAGCATAAGCAGAGGTGAGTTTTTTTTTTGGAGGGCGGGGGCGACACCTTTGGGGAGAGGGGGAAAGATGAAGAGAGAAGGCTAATGGTGGAATGTAGGCAGGGATGATGATGTAGGATGGAATGATTTGAGTCGGGGAAAGTGCAGGGCAAAGGAAACATGTACGATATACATGTGCTAGAAGCATTATGGGCGTTTTTTTTATTTTGGAAATATTTTGAAAGAGAGGGTAATACCTGGAAATATATGGATTACTCCGCTATTGCACGAAAACTACATTTGGGGACATTGAATGCGGATTAAGGTCTAAATATCCTTCTTACCCCCCCAAAAAAGTCTACCTGTATCATTACTCCATACCACTATCTCCCCCTTCCTAAACACCCACGAAACAAACCCCCCTTTTCCATCTCACCCCATACTTCCCCCACTCCTCTCACCCCCAATAATGCCCGCCATCCTCAACAACTCCCTATCCATCTCCACATCGCCCGTCCCCAAATTAACCCTCCTCCTCGCCTCAGCCTCTCTCTCCTGCCACGCCCACTCCTTCCTCTGCTGCTCCGCCACCTCATCCCCGCCACACCCCCAAACCTCCAGACACTCAATCTCGAATCGATCCTGCCAATCCTTGCCCTTCCTCGCCGGCAATTTCGACGGAAGAAACGAGCCGCCACCCTCGGCCAAATGCGTAAAGACTGCGAATTCGAGCGCGTCGTCGAGATGCAGGGAGATGGGGCCGGGGCGGAAGACGGAATGCGAAGAGTAGGATGATGATGAGGAGGTTGCTGCTGATTGAGCGGGGACGGGGGTACCGAGGCCGATGCCTGCAGGTTGGGTTGGCGATTTATTAAAGTAGGTGTAATCTGTGCTGTACGACGACGCGGAAAAGACGTCGTGGGTAGGCGAGAGTTGGAAGAGTTGGGTGGTTGAGTCGCCGAAGCAAGACTTGCCCGTGTGTTTCCACTGTGAGGGAATGTACGCGCCGTAGATGAGGGTTTGGTTGGGTGAGGGGGGCGTAATGCTATCTGCGTGGCGCTTGGGTGGCAGCATGTCTTGGAGTGCCCGTTCGCGGGTGCTAGAGGGAGTGGCCGGGAGGAGACGGCCTTTGACAAGGAGGATGGTGGGAGCGCGCCAGTTGAAGACCTGTTTCTCAAAGGAGCCCATGCTGAAGCCGTGGGTGTTGCCGCTGTAGAGGGGGCGGAGGCGTCGGAAGAGGTTGCTACCTTTGATGAAGAATGATAGTTGGCTTAAGGTAGTTAGATTTAGTATTTCGCCTGGTTCACGGAGGACTGGCTCCAGTTCTGCTTTGGGTGGCGGGATAACGGGGTGCTTCTCTTGTGTTGGGGATGTGGAACCAGGCTTGCGTTTGGAAAGGTCAAAGTCTTTTGCGAAAAGGAAGTGCTCGAATAGTGGATTGAGGCCGTTGAAAAGGTAGGGAAGCGTTGTTGAGACGACAGCATTGAAGACGCGATATGTGACTCCTGGATGGTCTTCGACGCCAAAAGATGACAGTATAACATGTGCAGCACGGCGAAGCTCTTCGACTCTGTCGTCTGATAGATCCGGTGCTAAACTCGAGAGACTCTGCTGTGCATCTATCGGCGCAATGAGAAGCAGCAGCTCCACCAGTTTCAAGAAGTTGTCTGTCGGTATAATGGAGTGGTGGACGTTAGTGTGATCTCCCTGCTTGAATGCATCAATCGCATCCATGGACTCGAGTGCAGCCAACACCAGCTCATCGTCCTCGTCCTCGTCCTCTCCCTCATCCCCATCCTCGGGTGCATCGACCGCAAACCCCAAATTATTGCCACCCCGATTGACCGTATCTTTGGCCATCTCTTTCTCTTTCTCTTCCACGCTCGACTGTATCCCCTTGTCATATATCGCCAAACTACGATATATCTCCCTTAACCAAATCTCTCTCCCTCTCTTTTTAACCACCGCCCCATATCTCTCCGTCAATATCGTGACAACCTTGAGCAGCGCTTCGTGTGTGAGAATGGCAGGGGCTTGACTTGGCAGCGGAAAGGCCCCAAGGTAACTCGCCATCTGGAAGACGACCGAGCCCACGCCCAGCGCGTCGGGAAGCTCCAAGAATCGGCATAATGTAGTCTCGCTCCAGTAGTGCACCCCAGACTGCGTGTCGGCCAGCGAGCGGAATACAGAGTTGAAGCAGTAGAGCTCGAGGGGCGTGAAGCTTTTCTGTGCGAATCGCTCAGCGATGGCTTGGGAGAGCTGCTCTGGCTGGTGTTAGATTGAAGAGCGGAGAGTTTGGCGGACACATACCTAGTGTTAGCCGAGGCGCTTCGTGCGACTCTCCTTGACCCATGATGGCGTAGATAAGGCGGTATTCGGCTGTAGTGTGTCCTGCATGATTCGTGAAGCTGCTGCCTCGACGTTGGTGTCTGACAAGCAATGACGGCATGTGGGTTATCTCCGGTAACGCCGAGGAAGAGGGCTGTTCTTTCTGGATCTGTGGTTGAGGCATTGGGTCGTATGCAAAAGACGTCTTCTCTTAATGCAAGCATTGCGTGCAATTTTGTGAGATGCCAATATCTTGTGTACATATCATTCAAGCACGCGCTATGTATTTAGAGGCGTGCTCTTATCTATACAAAGTCCAGAACACAACTCTATCCCACTTTGACTCCTTTTTGGCCGTCTCGGTTTGCTCTCCAAACCCCTTCACCACCTTCAAATCTTTCTAGCTTCCATATTTCTGCCCTCTCCTTTGTCTCTTCGAGCGCCTCTTCGCCTGCCCTCCACGCCGCTTGTCGATGTGGGGCGGAGACAGCAATCACGATACTCTCCTCACCAATTGGGCATTCACCTAGTTTGTGGATGATGGCGATTTTGGTACAAGAGTGCTTGGCAAGTATCGAGGTACCGATTTTGAACAGGGTCGAGATGGCGAGGGGCGCATATGATGTATAGGACAATGATGAGACGGGCTGGTCGTTGAAGGAATCGCGCGTTGTGCCTATGAAGAGCACAGTCGCACCTGCAGATGGAGAGCGGACAAAGCGCGTGGCGGCGAGAGAGTCGAGGTCGTGGGGAGTAAGCTCTACATGGATGTTGTCGGTGGTTTTGATAACAGGTTCCGAGGGTATGTCAGGGGTGTAGGACTGGGATTCTGTGGTTGACATGTCGGCTTCTGCTGGACTTGGCTATTGCTTGTATTCCTTTTCAAATAAAAGCCCTAGGGACTGCTCTGTGGATACAGGCGCGGCTAGCTAGCGTTGAAAGTAGACTTTCTGGGCAAACCATGTTAGTGCACCGGATCCGCCTTGAACATACGGGTATATCTCCACTGGACAACTAGAGTGATGAAGTACCTGAATGTTTTGGAGACGCAGTTGCGAAGCAAAAGAAATAACTCTGCATGTGCCCTTCCAAGATAAGGGTGCTATCAGCTGGACCCCGCCATAGCTGACCAACCGTGACGCCACACGAGATGCTTGACCACTTACCGCTCAGGGACGTGTTGCGCGCATGAATTTTCCGGGCACCGCAAGTCTGGGTGTGTGTGTATGCGTGCATATACATATAGTATGTACATATGTATATGTATACACCACACTTGTGCCTGAGGCGCGTGTTCGCAGCAGACGGGACGGAAGCAATGTCGGAAATGCCGTCATAGCTCAACGGGAAGGCTCGCTTAGCGCCGATCGGCGACCTGCATCGTCACATGTGGAGCACTAAGTCTCCGGCGTGGCCCCGTGGATAGCATGCTATTGCATAGCTTATTAGCTCCAACGGTCAGCCTCGCGTCAGATGACTACCGTGGCTAGTGCTTCACTTCGAGACTCTTGTTTGTCCAAAGGGGCTCGCTGCTTGATTCTGTCTCGACTTGATCTCCCCAGCCAGCCCTTGGACATTGGCGCCCGCTATATTGCTTTCCCCAACGCCACTCGCTACCACCCTGCTTCGACGCGCCGATTTACCCGGGTCCGTACTCGAGGTTACACTTCCGGTCGATGCTTCAGAACACGTTGCCCTCCTATACCACGCGCTGACCTTCGCGCCGCACACGTTACATGGCGAGGGATGGTCTGCATTATAGCATAACACGTCACGCAACATGGGCGGGGATTGGGGGTATGGCACCGTATTCAACATCTTCATATGGGGTTATCTTGTAGGAGGACTGACGCTCTTGCCCATTCTTCTTACAATTGCATGGTTCTGGTGTACTACGCCCGTTGAACACGACAACCTCGATTCAGCTTCCACCCAACATGGCCAAGCTTCACAACCCCGCAGGACATCGAATGGGTCCGTGAATAGCAAGGGAGGGGACGACACAGACCCAGCGGCAGCGATAGACGATGAGATACTGGAGAAGCTAAAAGGAAGAACACATGAGCCGGATGTCTGCGCTGGCTACTTTGCTGTGTGCCGGGAGTATGTGCCGGGCGGCGTTAACGGCAAGCCTCCGGATCGAACCACACCTGCAGGTACCGTCGTGGCGGTAGAGAGTCCCAGCGTCTACCAGTCCATGTACAGGAGTATCTTCGATCGCAATAAGACTACAAGTCCAACAATAGATGCGGCAAATAACAAGAACAAGAAGGCGCGGAACGTCTTCTACGTCGTCTTGCGGTATGTTGGCTGCTCAAAACCGCACCCCCGAACTGAGGGCTGACTGAATACCAGCCTTGGGCACCTCATGCTCTACGACAACGAAGATCAAATCGAAGTCCGTCACGTCATCTCGCTAGCTCACTACCAAGTGGATATATACGGAGGTGGAGAGCCCATACCTGAGGGCGAACTCTGGATCAAGAGAAATTGTACGCTTTCGCAAACACTCTCTTGTTGATTCTTACATTACTTACAAAGCTAGGCATTCGATTGGTCCAACAACTGCACGATGACAGCACTGCAACTCCAAAGCAATTCTTTCTCTTCTCTGATAACTGCTCTGAGAAGGAAGACTTCTATCACGCGATGCTCCATGCCCAGGAAAACCAGAAGGACTCTTCCGACGCAGATTCGCCGTCCGTTCCGCTAAAGTTTGAAATGCCTGATCTTGTAAAGCTGGTACAACAGCTGCATGCATCAGAGGAGAACCTTCACACCCGCTGGATCAATGCCCTCATTGGCAGAGTGTTCCTAGCAATGTACAAAACAGCGCAGATTAAAGAGTTCATTGCAGCAAAAATCAACAAGAAGATATCCCGCGTTCCCAAACCTGCTATCATCAGCAGTGTACAGCTGCGCAAAGTCGACATGGGCACTCTACCGCCTTTCATCACTAACCCGAAGCTCAAAGAGCTGACTGTTGATGGCGATCTCGTTGTAGAAGCTGATGTTAGTTACAAGGGCAACTTTTCTATCGAGGTATCAGCGACTGTGCGCATAGATCTGGGCACGCGCTTCAAGGCCCGCGAGGTGACACTCATACTGGCTACGGTATTGAAGAGGCTTGACGGCCACATTCTCATCAGGATCAAGCCACCGCCAAGTAACCGGCTTTGGATGACTTTTGAGACTCCGCCCAAGATGGAGTTCTCTCTTGAGCCAATTGTCAGTTCACGGCAGATTACCTATGGTGTTGTCTTGAGGGCAATTGAAAGCCGGATACGGGAAGTTGTCAATGAAACTTTGGTGCTTCCCAACTGGGATGATATGCCCTTCACAGACACAATAGCACAAGTCATCAGAGGCGGCATCTGGGAAGATACTTGTAAAACCAAGATTGAAGATGTGGACAAGGCCAGCCAAAAAGACGCTACGCTTGACGCTGCCATTTCTGACATGCAAAGACTTGACGAGAAGGGTGACTCTGCCAGCGCAAACTTCTCCATTTCTTCCAGTGCTGAATCAGAAGAAGTCGCGACTGGTATTTCTACATCTGCAGATCACACGTCTTCTTCCTCGTCGATAAGACCACGTACAATGCGGTCGACCTCTTCGGTGGCACAGGTAAAGATCGATTCAGCGAATGCTTCAGCAGAGATAGCGCACGAACACGGGTCGACGCCGACCAGTGCTCGGTCCCTTCCTGCCACAACCCCCTTGCGTTCACCCATGCGACCGAGCAACACACGTCGAGCAACCCAATCTTCAGTCAGCTCCTCGGAAGATACGTCAGCACCGTCAATATATGCAGAAAGTACAGCGTCTGCGCCAGTCTCAAATGCTGATTACGCCCACACCAGAGCCAAGTCCAGAGACCTGTCTGAGCAAGAAATTGCTGCTGCGGCAGCTGCAGCTGCAGGAGCAAGTAACATGCAGACTAGGAAACAGACTCTCAACCAGTCTCTCAACTCAGCTACTGCAGCAGCAAGAAGTTGGCTGGCGGCGAAACAAAACAACAAAGCCGCTGCTAACAACAGACCGCCAACGTCCGAAGGTCCAAATCTTTCTGCAGAGGCGCTACAAGAACCCCGGTTACAGGTTCCAACTTCGCCCTCGATTTCCAAATCACACACCGAACCTATGGGCAGAGGTCAGCCGCTTCCACCGCCCGGAACCCCACTCCCCTTACCCAAGAACGACAAGAGGCAGACTTGGGCCATTCCGGCAGCAGCAACCTCTACATTTGCAAACCTCACCAAACGGAAACCTGTTGCGGCCTCTCCTCCGCTATCAAGTAAGAAATCAGTGGAGGATCTAGACAGCCCTCGGGGTTCATTTACACCGACAACACTGCTACCTGCAGCTCACTTTCCCGGTCAAGACGCGCGTCCAGCTGCAGAAGACGGCGAGGAAATGTTTCGTGAGATGAGGCGTAGGAAAAGTTCAGCAGCCAGTCAGCTAGCCACAGTACCACCGCCTTTGCCAAAGAGAAGAGGAAGACAGCCTAGTATGAATCAGAATTCACACAATTGGCGGTTAAGCCCGAAAGATGATGTACAGGGCGAGCCACTGTTTGTTGTCAAAGCTCCGGTTGTGGAAGGGAGTTCAGAGCCTAGCCCTGTAAGGGAGGATATGGGAGGTGAGAAGATGTTTGGGGGTGTGGCTCACAAGGCTGAGAAGGTGTAATGTAGTGGTAACAGCAACGGTGATAGCGCTTGTGTCAATGATATATCAGAATAACGGCGCTATTGGATAGCTAGAATCGGCTTTCTTTCTTTTTTTTTGTTCTTGTTTGTGTGGGTTCTCTGCTTGTTTGTAAGTTACCACCAAGCGTATCGCTGGTCATCAGTAATCCAAATATCCCAGTGTCGCTAGTTACATCTTCATCTTGAACATTGTATTAACTTTTTCAACACCAACCCATTGCTGACTCGCCCTTCCATACTGTCTATCATTCCTCCAAGCATCCACAGAAACCAAAGTGTACCCACACCCCTCATCACCGATAAACCCACCGTACCAGTCAACTTACGCACGCCCCCTCCCCGCCATCATTCCACCGCATAACCCACCCATATACAGACACACGCCCCTAGCATCCAAAACGGACAATGCAACTCCCCCACAATCAACACCTATATCCCCAAACCTACCCTTCTCGGCAATTNCCACCTCCCCCCTCAATGAAATAAAAACAAGAAGGCCCATGCGGGCGATATGGCGATTTCCGATTGCTTTCGACGCCCCGTGTCGATGCAAAAGTGGGGGGTGGATGCAGAGGTCACAAAAAGCGCTTGCATATAGTGGCAATGTAGGAATGTACGTATGCGGGAATAGTGGGGCGGGGATGCTAGCTGATGAGAGTTACGCCCTGGGCTGGGGGAGTGTTGGGATTGCACAGTATGTGTGCATGCATACGGCGGGTTTTGTCCATGTCCCTTGGAAGAGGGATCGGAATGGTGGGAGGTTGCTTTGAGGTGGGTTTGGGGGATTATCGTACCATTGTCTGTTTTGGGACTAGTGCGGGTGCGCGAGTTTGTGGCTTGGCTGGACGTGGCTGGGCCGGGTGGAGCGGCGGTGGTACGGGGGGTTGTGAGTTTGTTTATTTTGTGGGGTATCACGAAGAGCTGTGTGCTTGGGTGTATGAGGTTGGTATTGGGGGGAGGCCATGGGTGCTGGATGTTTGCTACACTGTGTGTAAGTGTGATTTGGGTATGTGGTTCAATGGTAGGATGGGTTGTGCCAGTGTTGTGGCTTGTACGACATATGCTTGTTGTGTCTAAGTCCATACTATTGCCTTGTTTAGGCTATAGTAAACTCTGCATTGTTAGCAGGATGCATAGTTCCGGCGCTAGCGCCAATGCAATGGTGCGGCTGAATGTACATATCGTATGTATGTACATGGGTCTTGTGACGAGTGCATTTCCTTGGTACGGGTTCGTATGCAAGAATGCTGTCCGAGTCTAACCTCCTCTGACCCCCTTTGGCCTATTGGCCCAAGGCAGGCTACCTTAGTCATATCTGACTTGACACTGTATATATAAGCCTAACCAAAACTACCTTTCCTCAGTAGCAGTTCGTCTATAGTGGATACAGCCTATTTGACTACCTCTCCTCTTGATGCCCTTACTTCGTGTCTTTGTCTACCCTTGCGCCTGACATTATCATCTTCTTAGGCTACTAAAAACTAGTTCAGCAACCCATTCACTATTGTAAACATACATATTGCTACTCAGTTCCCTCTCCTATAGTTGAGCAAAGTGCCTTGTAATGTGTAACTCAAACATAAGGAGTATCCTACATATAACTGCTGAGCTAAGAAGGCGAATTGATAGAACCACTGCATCAGATGGGCTGATGAACAAGGCGCTTGAGAGTATCACAGTACCCATGACAAGATGCAATATCGTAAGAAATGACGCCATCCAAGAAAATACAATATACCATATTGACTCAGGAAATTCATCCCACTTAACCTTTGTCTGGTTTTTGCGGAAATCAAACTCGCCTACAATAGCAGCAAAGAGTGACTCGCGTTGCACAACACGAAGTCTCAATCTAACTGCATAAGCGCCCAGGAGATGGGGTATGACTGAAACACCAGCCCAGCTGTTGAATGATATGTGTTAGATACTATACATGAGGCAAGAGGCTATCATAGCTTCCTGTGTGAGGAGCGGAACATACAGTGCAGGCAGCCACCAAGTACTTCCAGAGAACACGCAGACGGAATATACACAGAGCTGCCAGATGACATGAACTACGTTTCCGATTGCTGCTACGGCGATTACATATTTTACAAGGTAAATCTGTTGCTGCCATTTCGTGAATGCCTGTACGGCGTCCGGTTTAGTCTTTAACATTTCGGCCGGGCTTCGGTATTCAAAGGATCGGATAGGCGAGACAACAGGGGCTCCAAGAGACAGGAGAATCGAAAGGATTGGCTGCCGCAATGCCAGAAGGCCGACTTCGGTTATGTTGGATCCAACCATGCCGAGGATGGTGGGAAGAATGCCTAGCAACACCGACGCGGCTGCCATCTGGGCTTTTCCACTCTCATCAATGTGGTTCAGCATACAGGACACTACGTCGTTGATACGGTGATTTGGCCAAAGATTGGGCTCGCCCAGAAATGCTTGATACTCTGCGCTACAGTTGTCGCGCAATATCGGAGAGAAATACGGAGCAAATTGCGGGAACCATTGTTGGAAGTTTCTAGGCATTGAGTTGGGAGCCTTGTTGTTCGCTTAGAGTAGAAGAAATTGCGTCGAAAGGCTGGTGGGATGCAGACTTGGCTTTGTCTTACAAAGGAAAACCCGTAGTTGAATGTATGCTAGCGAGGCGGATATGCCTTACAGATAGATTGTAGGAGCTCAGCGAGAAGTTACAATGGTTGAAAACAAGGACATAAGAGCAAACATTGATTTAAATGATCAGATTAATGGCTATACTCGTTGGAAATTCCAAATGATAACGTACGGCTGCCAGCGTCTTGGCAAGGCATACAGAGGATGTATATGTATTCTATGTCAAGCAGTCCCACTTTTTTCATTTGAGCTTGACTCATTCAACCAATAGAAAAGAAACACGTAAATTTAAGTAAACTAGTAAAGCTGTCTTTGAAGCAGCGTAACGCATTGTCTCTGAATGTCTGGATTACCGGTTGAAGATCCCACTGGAAAGAGAGGCTTAGTAGGTGTAATATGAGAGAATCTCTTATCCATGAGCCTAATGAATAGACAACAAACAAGAGCGTAGTAAGCATGTTTTGTGCTAGTCATGCTTCTACGGTGGCGAAGTTTAGTGCTTCGCCACCACCAGCTAAGAGTATGGCCGACCCGTTCTTGCCTAACCTCGTAAACCATATCTGCAATCTTATTTTGCGCCACCAATGACATTAAGGTATCATATGTCCTCCACACCAACCAGGACGCACTTCTAGCGTTAGTAGAGTTATTTTTGGGTCTGCGATCTGTGTGGTAATCTCCAGCAATGCAGATAGAAGCTATGGTTGGCTCAATTCTTCTTATTCTGGGGATTTATGAGTCTGAATAACACTGAATTTCTGGGCAAAATACGTTTGCAGACTTGGTGTAACTGTTGAGCAGTTAGTACAGGTGAAAGCGATATAAAGAGATGTGGTTACCTCTAGATTGCACATAATTTGCAAAGCTAGCGCAAGAACGGCATTCCATGGCGAGGGCAATTCGAGTTAGAGTCTAAGAATATTAGGAACAACAATACCTACCAGAGATTGCATGGTCTATACACGTAAAAAAAACTGGCAAACTAGTTTCTTGGCTGCTAACATCATGGTGGGCGTTAGCTGACTTTGCATGGAGTGTGGTTTGATTCTGTTACTGCTAGGCAGAGATCTCTTCATAGAAATTGCGCCTCTTGTCATCTCTCGGTGTTTGCTTTGAACTGAACTTCGAATATGATGTAGGATAGGCCTACGTAGCCTATCAGACGCATGATGCAAAATCCTCTGCTCTCAATGTTTTGCTTGAGGTCCACGGTCACTTAGTTATGAATACATTAAATAATTTCAAGACAGTCTCACAGCCAAAAACGGGCACTTCCTCTAAAACTAGTCGTTTACTCCCTACATTCGGATGGCATAATGATGGCATCACATAGTTAATAGGATGGTAAGAGTATCGGAAGGTCCAGATGATTCACCTTGAAGACAAAAGTTATATTTGAATCTCTTTAATTTTTCAGATCTCGCAAATCGCGCTACATGTGTGGTTTTAGCTGTAGTTGAAAAGATACAAGTATCATCTTCTGGCCTACGTCATGATACGTAGTATTTCTAGCATATCGACATGAGTCTGCCACATGTAGTTGGTTGAATTCTCCGCAGATCTCAGCACTAAACTCACATTTCCTTCTTGTATAACCTCTGCACGACAGATGCACGGATCGATGACGCAAAGAATGGGGTGTTCGTGACTAAGCGGGAGCACCGAGATGGCCGACTTCGGACTTAAAAGCGCAGATTGCCCTCTCACTCCAACAAGTATCGTGACACTCCGTTGTCGCAACATCTCGAAAAATAGGACTTTGCCTGGATCAAAGTGGGGCGATTTCGGAATGTTCGGCTCTAAGCGCTACATGACCCAATACTATAAAGACATCGATCTACCTCCCTTTAATCCCGGCACTAACTAAAGCAACTGCCATCATTGACGTATTTGTATACCTGCTGCCTAGCACTCTTCGACCCCATTGTATAAACTCCATACTACCTATTGAATAGATATCATACTTTACAGTTCCACATAGACAAAATGTCTGGACCATACCTTCATGGACACCATGCCTCTGTCCTCCGCTCTCACAGTTGGCGCACCGTGGAAAACTCCTGTCCTCATCTCCTGCCATTCCTCAACAACACCTCACTGCAGATACTCGATGTTGGGTGCGGCCCTGGCACCATCAGCGTTGATCTCGCTGCTCGAGTTCCACAAGGTTTCGTCTACGCAATCGATCCCTCCGCCGATGTCATTGAAAAGGCCCGAAAGCACGCAGAAGAAATGGGAATCAAAAACATACGCTTCGAAGTTGGTGACATTTTCGAATGGAACAAGCTTGAAGGTGTAGAAGAGCAAGGCTTTGATGTCGTACACGCACATCAAGTACTGCAGCATCTACAGGACCCGCTAGGCGCGATGAAGGAAATGAAACGACTAGCCAAGGCCGGCGGCATTCTTGCCATCCGAGACTGCAACTACGGTGCGATGGATTGGTATCCGGATCACCCCGTGCTGCATAAGTGGAAGGACCTTTACATCAGGGTTGCGCTGGGACTCAAGGCGGATCCAAACATTGGCAAGCGACTACATGCAGTGGCAATGGAAGCTGGCTTTCCAAGAAGCGATATAGAGGCTAGTGTGGGTACGTGGACATTTAGCACACCGGAAGAGAGGGAGTTTTGGTGCGGCCTCTGGGCTGACAGAACGGTGCAAAGCGATTACAAGAAGAGGGCATTGGATAGTGGGCATGCGACGGAACAAGACCTGGAGGAGATCTCCGCGGCCTTCAGAGAGATGGAGAAGAAAGAAGACGGTTGGCTTGTTGTTATCAACGGACAAATCATCTGTCACGTTAGGTAATGGATCTAGATCATCACAAGCCTGATTCCGCTCTCAACAGGACATCCGCCTTTACGCAGTGCCATCTGCTTGGTCCCTTTACGTATCCCGACTCCAGCTTAGTTATACATGTTTCCTCACCGGCTCGTCCCATTTCCCACACCCCCACTCAACTATCCAATTGTAACCGCATGCGCTCTTACCGCCTGGAATCATCTGACAGATAATGCACTAGCTTCCTAATCCTGCCGCGGCTGCCTGGCCCTGCAGACGTTCGCTATATCAACCCCACCTTGCCCCTCCAAACTGAACCATCAGCACAAACCATCAATCCACAACCTTGTGAATACCAACCCTTCATTTTACCAACCTACTAAAAAGCCCCGTCGGAAATCAACATGCAGTCCGTCACCGTTCTCGTCAACTCCCACAACAACAGCTGCCCCAAGTGCGGCGCTGGCATCAATGATGGCACCAAGACCTGTGGATCTTGCGGCAGCGTATGTTCTTAGAAGAGGATAGGGCACTACCTACTATCAGATCACCGCTAATAGTAGCAGACTTGTCCTGTCTAGAGTAATGTCGGTTCATTTGCATAGTGAGGCGTAGTGGGCAAGGCTGGGCGGATCTATCCGCAGGTTGTGCATAAGCGGCGTTAGTACCAGGTTGATTGGAGGGCTCGTGAATATGAAGACGCTGATGGAGATTTACGATTAGTGAGTCCTGGAATACAGATACGCTATTATCGTGCGACTTTTGCTTCTTGTGTGGTTCAGAAAGGCGAAATCGAAGTACTTCCGGTAACATATTTGCAGGCTGATGATCTATGTTGTGCATCCTAGTCCTGTCTTCAGGTTCTCTGCTTTGTTACATTTTTGCAAAAGAGTTTCGCCCATTGATCAATGTTCATTTCCTTTGCGCCTTCTTCACATGCGCGTACGTCGGCTCAAGCACTATACACCTCCCTACATCACCTCCGCATGTACACTTTCATCCAACCACCAAACGCCCTCTCCACGTCTCCATTTACCCAGAATAAGATTATTACAAAAGCTATATCGTCGATTTCTCTCAAGTGCATATGAATAACATGGCATAATGTGTTTGGCGACGATGTGACTAACAGTCTACTGTTTTCATTCCAACTCATCAACCTCACAATACCGCGGGAATCACAAGAGAGAAAACGTCAGTACAACAAATGCACTGAGAGAGTAGAGACTCACTGAAAAGACTGGAAGGTTGGAAAATAACGAGCCACAGTACCTTAAAGGCATAGCCTACGAGAGTAGGACCAGCCACATGATGGACGCAGCGAAGAAGATCAAGATGATGAGTGCTAATGGCGTTGATGATTGAAGGGATAGCTTCTGCAAGCCCACTTTGAACACGAAAAAGTGGGAAGTTGGAAGAGATGGAAAGAAATTTTGATTCTCTTTGGGTGTAAGTGATAGGCCGAGGGATTGTTACTCGATTTGTTTGTTTCTAGTATCACCTCAAGGGTTGAACACAAGTTTGAGTTGACGGTGCACGAAACAAGTACTGAAATCCATTTATGAATTCGTGTTCACTGCTAACATCTGACAGATGGTAACATCCAAGAAAACAGCAACTGGAAAGAAAACCTGGGTATCGTATGCTGAGAAAATACCACCATTACAAAACCAGTTTCGAGATTGCCAACTCTACTTTGCAGCGGATATGGTATTCTTATACTTGGTGCTGGGTTAAAAGCTGGGTGTCACAAGATAAACCTTTCTTAAGTTAACATCCAATTAGATATGTAAGTTTGGAGAGCGTATCTTACTAATGACTTCTTCTTGCTCAGTAGCCCCTCCTCATCCTCAACCAAACCAGCAACGCACAGACAATCATGACAACAGCGGTTAGGAACATAAAGACGGTATCGGCTTTAGCTTCCTTGCAATGGCCCTCAAATACAGCTATTTCCTTCGAGGGGTTTTTGCCATATTTGTAGTTATTCCAGCAGAGTCCGGATCCAAGGCAACCACCATTGAACCACTTGTTCTCAGCCATCTTTTTCACGTTGCCGGGATCTTCGGCGCTTACTTTGCAGTCCACGCCTGCTAGTTTAATAACGAAGAGCTTTTGGGATAGTCAGTACGTTGTTCTCTTATATTCAATGAAAAGAGCGGTGATGTTGATCAGAGGATGCGAATACTTACAACACCACCAGCAAGGTTCACGAGCGCAACGACGCCGTCGATGATAAGCCCAACCATGCCACCCAAAAAGTCAAACCATGTTGCAGCCAACCCTATAAATGCAGTTACAAAGGACAGTCCGCCGACAAATGCGCCATAGCCCAAGCCGGCAGGAAGATCGCCCCAGTGATGGCCGCGGATGAGCGTCACGCTAAGGCCGAGTACAATGATGCCAAAGAGCGCTTGTACACCGCGCAGCGCGACATTGATGATTGAAGACACCATTTTTGCTTTGAATTCTATCCCAATACTTGAGTCGGAAGATGTAAGGGTGTACTCGGCGAATATGTGTCGCTTTAGGTTGTCGTTTGATGACGGGTGAAACGGAAAAAGTTTATTCGCAACCACAGTCTTCGCAATGAAATTCGCAAAGACGAATTTTTTTTCCAAAAATGATGAAGAAAAACAACAAAGAGAATTTGGAAATCAAAGGCACCTTCATCACCTCAAGTATCCCCCAAACCTCCTCGCGATGGGCTATGCTACTTGCGGCCCCCAGTTTAAGGCGGCCCATCGCAAGGCTGTAACGTGTGGCAGATGTGCAATTTTCACCCGTTTACCGTGCAACTAGCCAGGCAAACACGGCGCTTGAGTCACACAATCACCGCCTCGTAGATTGTCAATCCCACTGTATTTAGTGGATATAGTGTGAGATGGCGATGTGGAGGGCTGGTTGCCTGGCATGAATCACAAGGGAGTTACCCACATTTAGCCGCTTTGAGCACGTAACCGCTTGGGCAAAACGGGCCAGAGGAATACTTGCTACTCTGTGCAATGACATGATTGGGCTTGCAAGGGTACGCAATGGCAAAAAAAAAATAAGGCTGGCTGCTCTTCACCGGTTTGGTACTAAATTTAGTTCAATAGGACAGGCAATGCGGCATATTGCAGTATTGCATAGAGCGAAGTGCTGCTCTCTTTGATTTTTTTCGTATACCGATCCAATGAACAAAGTATGCCTTTGCTGACTTGTACCAGAAGAACGAGAAATCGAAATTCCCACCGCCGCCTCATGCGTCTTTGTCGTCGGAGTAGTTGTTACGCTTGTCTCAACATCAACAGATACAGCGTGGCTTGCCTGACCGCCAATGCCGGTTTCAGGTCGTCAGTATACTTGCTGCTCCCAGCACAGCCTTTACAGTCCTGCCCAAGTACTCGTTTGCCAGAGTGAAGTTCCCCATGGAAACGGCTTCCGTAATTCCAGGAAAAGTAACGGGCCTGTATCCTGTATCTATTCCTGGTGCAAACAAAAGATGCTGATAGAAAGGCCGTCCAGGAAGTCCGCCTTGGTTGATGAATTCCCGTCCAAAATCGCGAGCTTTGCGATTCAGTTCCATGATTAGGCGTACATTGTTTGAGACCACAGCTGCGTCGCGAGCAGCATTGAACAATCGTGCTGCTTCTTCGAATGCCGTAATGGCATCTTCAAGCTGCTCGACTCTCACTGCCGCCGTTCCATTTGTAGATGATATAAGCTTGTGGAGATCTGCAAGCCATGCCTGCATTTCCATACCATAGTTGGATGGCTCAAGCGGCACAACATCGTCGTTTACCAAGTGGAACAGCATCAAAGTCAGAAACTGACCAATTGCCTTGTGCATTACAAATCCTGGGTCAGCGAACCTGGTCATCCAGTAGTAGCTATCAAAGTTGGAGTGTGTGTGATAAATTGGGTCCAGAGGCGCTCTCGTAGTACCGATGTCCATGGCAGAAATGCCCCCGCGATGCACAAAGGCTGTGTAGTCGCTTTGTGCGCCCAGAAGGTCAATTTCACCAGCCCTTTCTTCCCAGACATCGTAGATTGTACGATTTTCGCCGTGGGGCCATATGACCTTCTGCGCAGTTGAAGTTACCAGAGAATGGAGGTCGGGAGAAGCACTGAAGTCAGGGATGGTGCCAGACACCCCAACGTCGATGTTTAGGTAAGACACAGCGGAGCTTTTGAGCCAGGGAGTGTATTCCTCAACCCATTCGGTGCTAAAACATGTTATTTCTGAAGTTTTGAAAACAGATTTGTAATTCAAGAACCATAACTCACCTTCCCACCAACCCGTACTCCTCAGCGTCCCAACTACAAAGAACAATCGTCCGTTTCGGCCTCCACCCAGTCTCCAAGAGCTTACCAATCGCCCTTGCCAGCTCAATCAAAATTGCCGAGCCAGAATGCGGATCCGCTAATTTCTCAGTCAATTCATCAAAAGAACCATGAAGCATCCTTGTTCAAACTCACCAGCACCCCCAACCATCCAAGCATCATGATGATTCCCTACCACAACAACCTCATCCCCCTCCGTCCCATTCACAACACCAACCGCATTATAAATCCACTCAATACCCCCCTTCATCTCATTCCTCATCTCAAGCACCGCATCAGACCGCCCACTATAATCCCCCTCACCTGCCCACCCCTCCAACCCCTCCAACAAACCCCTCGCCACACCCCACGACAAAGGCAAACTCGGTATCTCCGGCAAACTCTCCACCCCCTTCCTCTCCACCCCTTCCTTCGACGCATACCCCGGCGTCGTCGGATCCCCAGGATACTTAGTCAAGTCCAGCACACTACCGCGCTGTACACTCCACGGATTCCGTGCGGGCCCCGCAGGATACGGTGCGTACGCCGGCGTAGCCATTTCCGTGTCGTCGGCGGGGTCAGTGAAGAGGAGGAGGCCGGCGAGGTTGAAGGAGTGGGCGTTGCGGAGTTTGGTGCCGCGGAAGGGGCCGCCGTGTTTGGCGAGGCCGATTTTACCGGCGAGGGAGATGTTGAGGTTGGAGAGGTGTTGTAGGTCTTGGGTTGTGGCGCGGCCTGGCGGGAGTGGGTTAGCTGGTGCTGATTTTGGGGAGGAGAGGGGGTCGGTGTACCGATGTAGATGTATGGCGCTGATACGTTTCCTGAGGCGGAGTAGCCATGGAATGCGGGGATGCGGTTTGGAGAGCTGGTTGTAGGGTCTTCTTCGAGCATGGGTTCTTCGAGGGTGAGGTTGTACGTGCTTCCGTTGGGGTATCTGAGTGTGAGGGATTGGTGGACGGGGTAGTTTAGGTAGACATCTTTGAATTCGTAGTTAGTGAATAGGCATGCCCATCTTCTTATTATCTAGCATAGAATAAAGGGGTAAAGATACATACGATAACTATCTAGTCTAGTATCGAAACCATACTCGGCCCATTTTGCAGCTGTCCATTCGGGCACAGTACTGCTTTCTCCCGCGAGATTCCGCTTGTGTGCTACAATGTATGAGTATACTCACACTTTATTTTGGGTAGGCATTGTAAGAATTACAATAATAGCTTGACCAAGATGCCATGGATGTGTCATCGAAAGACGATACTAGAATTTGTTCCTGCGGTGTCAGAATTGGTGGGAAGCTAGGGGCCGTATCGCGACGGTATATATGGCGGTTGTGGTGCCGAACGCGGTGTTTTTTGTCACATCCTTGGGTGATTCTAGATAGAAGTAAGACTAAGACAAAGTACATGATATTGGTGATCGAAGCTGCGTGCATCAATGCGATTTGAGAAGGAAAAAGGGCTTGTTAGGTACTTGAATGATAGAGTGGCACATATGCCCAATTAAGTATTGGTCTAGGTAGTTCAACGAATCACCCTAGCTACTTTAATTTGTATAAATATCAACCATGTGGGGTCAAACAAGGGGTTACTTGTGTATGAGATATGACATGACGCAAAGTGACTTCTCGTTATAAGCAACAGGTGAGGTCCGGTTGGTCACATTTACGGATCACATATCGGGACCAGATATTGCATCAACCCAATTTACACCTGACAACCAATCATCAAACACTAATTTCGACACAGCTCAACAGCCCAGCGACTACGCAATGACCTCCACCGTAGCCACCTCAACAGCATCCTTCACACCATCGTCAACAACAACCGGCCTCCTCGGTGCGGCATAAACATCCCCCTCATCCTCCTGCATCCCCCCGAGCAACAACGAACTCGGCGCAGCCGCCTGCTCAGCCGGCGACCCCAAAAACGCCAAAAACTTCTCATCATGCCACTGTCGCGAAGTAACATACCTCCCCTCACTATCCTGAAACATAGTCTCATCCTCAGCCCGCAGAAAGTACGCAACAGAGTATCTATGCTCACTATAGTCGTACGGCACAACACGGTGGACACACGATTGGAACGCGTGACCGCTTGCGAAGCGCAGGGAGTCGCCAACATTGATGATAGCTTGACCTTGCTTGGGCTCTACGAAGCCGAATTCTTTGGTCCCTGGTGGCCGGATTTGGAGACCCCATTGTTCGGTGAAGAGGACAGTGAGGGAGCTGATGTCTGTGTGCTTCTGGTGGCCGACGTTGCCGTCCGTGGAGGGGTTGGATGGGATGTAGTGCATCATGGATAGAGTGCTGGTCGAGGGACGGTGGTTGCGGTGCAGATTCTCGAAGCGGGATGCACCTGTGAGACTGAAGGCGGTGGAAAGAGCAGCCAATATGACTTTCCCGATGATATTGTTGCCGGAGATGGCGTTCTCGAGGGTCTTTAGGTCGGTGCTGTTCTTGATGTTGCGTGGGATGTGGGGAGATTCGCGTTGGATCTCGTCGCGAGAGACTTTGACCATCTCGTAGCCGTCGCGTGTGTCTTCTAGGACGCCGTTACGGGAGCCGATGGGCTCGTAACTAGTATTTGTTAGTGACTGTGGTGAGGTATAGAGTGGGGTCTTATGTATGGACTTACCCGAGATGAGGGGAGACAAGACCATACTCGTTCTTCACCTCAATTGGAGCTTCGAAGAACTTGTGCATGAGCTTCAAAAGCTCTTGGTGGTCATCAAGGAATCGGCGTCCGTCAACGTTGCTCAGGTCCAAGTAGAAGAAACCTTCGTCCTTGCAGCATTGTAGAAGCTTCTCGAGTTCAGCAGGCTCCTGCGATAGTAACGCAGAGAAGTCGATAGTCTCCATGTGGTAGACTGGGACTTGCTTCCCATTCCACTCGACCTTGTGATGGATGTCGTTTGATGAAGCCATGATTTTGTCAAGTCTCAAAGGCACTGCTGTGATAATGTTATTGAGTTTTTTTCATAAAAGATGTCACTGACGATTTTCTTCTACTTATTTCCTGGCATGAGGGCATGAATTTATACTGAAGTCGACTTCACGTGGGAAAGACAAAGTGGAGGATCTTCTAGTCAGGGAATGCGTTGATTAAACCCTCTTACGATGAAACTCGGCATGTCTATCATTTAGACATATCGATTAGACCTAGATTAAGCAATGTCGCTCTTGCTTCTGGGTCTACATGTCAGAGTTGTACACCCCACATACTTTGCAGCTATCAAATTTGTGATACAGCCGGTACGGATTCCTTATGCATGCCAACTGGTACGCATCTGTTCAAATTTCTTGGCTGACGACTTGGATCGCCATTGAATTGATCAAGATGCTTTTGACCCCGCGTCATGATGTGCTTCCTATGCTTCATGCCATCGTGTGGAGCCGAATCAATTGGCTGCCTCCTGCATATTATTTATCCGTCGTATGGGTAAAGAAGACTGGCACTTTGTTATGAGAAATCACAGCATAAACTGCGCTCAATCGGTAACTGGGAAGTAACTGCCGTTGCTGAGGTCGGGGTTTTGTGGGGCCTCCATAGTGGGGAGGCCAACGCGTGGGACGACTTACGACCGGCATTACATACTATACACATTCTCATGACTTGGACAACTGAACAGTTAGAAGACTCATTGTTACTCGGATTGAAATACGTAAGAAATTTGGTCTACATAGAATATTTTGTTACAGACATTTCCCGCAATGTGCAGGGTGTTTACAGCTTCATGCCCAAGACCTTATGTACCCTCAAAGCTTGCCTGATGCTCAAGTCAAGCATAATCTCCTCACTACCACCTGGGATAGCATACGCCCTGACATCCCTATATAGCCTTTCGACCTTGGCGCCCTGTCCGCCTCTGCTATAACTCAAGCCACCAAAGATTTGACTTGCTTCCCTAGCACAGAACTCGAATGTTGTTGTGCTCTGGGCCTTCAAGCTGGCGATAGCACCTCCAAGCTTAAGCATAGCCTCCATGTCGTCCATCTTCTCGCACTGGTAGATGAGGTTCTCCATCCAGTTGTAACTGGCCTCGATCTGACGAGCCATATGCGCGAGCTTGAGACGGATGACGGGGTGGTCGATAAGGCGCTTGCCGAAGGTCTTGCGCTTGTGTGCGTACTTCATGCTCTCTTCGTAGCATACACGAGAGAAGCGGAGACATTGAATGATAATGCCAATACGCTCGTGGTTAAAGTTCTAGATGATGATTAGTGGGCATCTAAAGGTGGTTCAGATGATTGACTTACCGTCATGACGACCTTGAAACCCTGGTTTTCCTTTCCGATGAGGTTCTCAACAGGAACCTTGACATCTTCAAAGGTGATGTAGGTGGTACCACTGCTCCATACACCCTGGCAGTCCATCTTACGGGTTGAAACGCCGCCTGCGCTGCGCTCAATCAGAAGGACCGAAATGCCGTTCATGCCCTCGCCGCCAGTACGCACAGCAGTGGTGAAGTAGTCAGACCAAATGCCGTTGGTAATCCATTTCTTCTCACCGTTGACAATGTAGTGTTTGCCATCCTCGGAGAGCTTGGCTTCACAGGTCAGGTTTGCGACATCACTGCCGGCATCTGTTGAAATGTCAGTTTCAACATTTTCGATACAAAAGGTGGGAACTTACCTGGCTCGGTAATTGCCAAACAGATTCTCTTCTTTCCGCTAAGCAGATCGGGGCCAATGCGCTGGACAAGCTCTTTCTTGCCAAACTTGAACAGAGGCGGTCCGCCAATTCCGTATCCACCGATCAAGCCCCAGACGAGCCCACCACTGCCAGTCCTTGATATTTCATCGGTGATGATCATCTCATGGAAGTGATCCCACTTCTCTGGTGGCACACTCTTGACCCTCAGGTCGGTATATTGTGTAGGGTACTTGACGCCAAGCATGCCAGCGAGGTATCCTCGTGCTCCCATTTCGAGGAAGATCTCATCCGGGACCTTCTTTGCTTCATCCCACTCTGTGACGTATGGCATGAGCTTCTCCTCAACCCAGTCGCGGACTTCTGCGCGTAGAGCGGCGTGTGTCTCGTTGTAGTAGGGAGAGTGGTACTGGTCTTTGTGTTAGCCGATGCTCATAGGAGTTATTGAAAGGCGCGTTCGCGGACATACAGTTTGGTACCATGAAGGGTCCGCATATGGGACGAGGTCGCCATAGGAATCGAAAGGCTCCGACTCCTCGGCAGCTTGAGTTGGCTGAGGTGCTACGACGCCAGGGTTCGCCTCTGGCTTAACAATGTCCTTCTTCTCCGGAGCAGCGGCTGCGGGAGGAGCTGGAGGGGCAGCCTTGGTGTCGAGTGATCCGACTTGCAGCTGCTTCTGGTACTTCTTGAGAATGCTCTCGTTATGATACTTCCAGAATTGCTTTGAAGCATCCTTGCCAGCTACTCGCTGGAGGACTTGAAACCATTAGCTTGGTCCGCGGAGTTTGTAAGATAGGGCTCAGCGTACTCTTTTTGCCGCCAGGGTGGTCGTCCTGGAACTTGGTAAGATCGTAGACATCCTCGTCTACAATGATCCACAGGTCGTTCGCAGTCTTGTGCGACGCGACATCGGCGGTAGAGAAGCGCTTCGCCATTTTTCTCTAGATTCAGAACACAAAGGGGGAGCAAGGCGAAGGGATGAAAAGCAAAACGATGAAGGAAGAATGATCACAAGACGACGATGGAGACACTTCTAAGCTTATAAGAGGATTAGTATGGTTTCGCGCTACTTTCACATGCTCGCAAGTACTCCACGCCAAGGAATCCGGGGAAACAGGCCATTAGCTGAAGACCGACCGTGGATAGCGCGTTTGGGGCACTGCGACCGCTCTCGTGTGATCTTGTGCGTGGATTTACGGGCGTTGCCATTGGTGGAGCTGAGCCTTGAGCGGCTGACTTGCTGGTTGAGGGCAGACGTCATTCACCAAGATACCGAGGCATGCCGGATTGGGAGGGCGCACGTGGGGCGGCTCAATTGTTATTCCATGCACGACATGGGTCCGCAGCGCCGAGGGCATCACATGTCAGGACAATGGTGACGTTCAGGTGCTGATGGTCCGATGCTCCCTGACAGAACGCGTCGCGGCTGTGTGTGCACACGTTGTAGCCATGCCATTTCGACGGGGGCGTGGGCGTGGGCGTGGGGTCTCCGCATCAATTTCCGTCCTAGTCTGGCGACCGTGTCTCTCGCAGAGCTGAAATAGCTGGACACCAAACCACCATCAAAAGTGCTAAAATACCAATAAGAAACTGGCCCTTTCCTTTGTCTGAGGCGCCCGGCTATTTCGGTTCCGCAAGAGCGTGATTGGCATTTCAAGAGCTTTTGTACAGATTGCGAAAATCATGTTCGCATACGCATCGATGCAGTTGTGTATATTGCCGTGGAGGAAGATAGCTCCTGGCAACGGTGGTCTAGATGATCTCTGCATCGGTCCACTGGTCTCTTGAAATAAAGGAGTGTAGTTACGTGTATACTGTGAGCGTGGGCGCTGAACTAACCTACTGCGCGAGCCAAATAGCAGACAATGTCAAAGGTACTCGATGAACACTACTGAGATAAGCGATAGTTGCGCAACGACATACGTAGCACGTTTTCCGCAAACTGAGCGATAATGTCAAGCGCGGGTTAGTCCTTGGTGGTTTGGGGCTGATGGTGCGGAACATGCAAAGGGCATCACGTGGTAAAATGATTAATCAAGTTGGAAATGCTGATACAAATTCCATGAAATGATATTTGCAACAACATTGCTGCCGCATGGATCATATTTGTGCCGGAGACGCCTGATCCCGTCCACTGCGTGCCTGAGGCCCGATTTTAGCTCAGTTGATGGTCAGGCGTTGCAAAAGATGCACCTGGCAAGAAACTATGTAAGCATTTCGACGTATGAATGCACGAAGTACTTGGTGCAGGTCGGCCATCCAGTTTTCTTTCTATCAGGCTTCAGAGTAATCAAACTCTGTTCTGATGCGATTGGTCTTGACCCTCCTATAAAATTACCCATAATTGACGTACAGTGCACTTGCGCTTCACCCTTACATCGGCCATCCTCTGGCCTACAGTCATTCAGAGATATCTTTCCAGACAGTGTTGCTTCGTCGGGTAGACACTACAACTGAATAGCCTGGTAGTGCCGCAGCCTTTGCAAGGTCTCAGAAGGAATAAATCCAGGTCAGTCAAGGCAATACATCGCTGCAATGATAAGGATGTATCTCCTTAACACCAATAGGCAATACCAATTTACCACACAAGGATGAAGGTGGGAGATAGGAGAGGGAAACAATTCACCTACAGATACCAACTACACCAGCCCAACAGTATTCAAACTGGGTCAGTACACTCATATTGTGCACCGAGTATTTACGCCGATAGAAGTGATGAACGCTCCACGACAGTAGTTTCACTAACTGCGCGTAATATTCGGATGGTAGAACGAACTTATCCTATGCCAGACCAATAGTTGTGTACGTACAGGAAACGTCTGGCGTGTATCAGAGCTACAACATCTGCAGTAACCCAGTTGAACTGGCTAGGTGAACTCGTATTGACATCTAGACTCTCGGTTCAGCGTATAGTAGAATTGCCATATCAGATGAGTCCAACTTCAGCTCGGCCTTAATGCGTTAACAAACGGAACTGTCTTGTGATCGTCCTTGCTAAAATAAACTGTCTTAATCACGAAAGCACTACTGCTTAGCCAAATCTGTCCTGCCCAAGGTCTTCGTTCTCGTTGCCACGGCTAAGTTCCATCGATTCTTGAATGTGAAATGCGGAGATACTTGTTCGATAAGCAAAGCAACAACTTTTCGGTATAGCCATCTCCGTATGGACCGTATGGACCGTATTGCGCGAATTACAGATATTTTGTCGTCTCCCGAGGGGCGGAATCCGTGCATTCCGATTGGCGCGCCCGATCGATGACCCTAGCTCATATACGGCAACACCCGAGTTTGGAGGCCCATGTTGTCAACAAACATTGAATTTCTTCCTCCGCCCTTTTATGCCATTGGCTCCCTACACCTCCTCCTTGGCTGTAATGCATGCTCTGTGACGAAGCACAATTGCTCTTTTCTTTCCCTTTTACATATTTTGAAGTTTGCATTACCTCTTTTGCCCTCGTCGAGGTTTCCAAGCGCCGTCTTGTACCTGAGCGCCCCTGAAACCACACACCGCCACCGTCACCCGCACAACAATCATGTCAATGCGAGTGACGCGATCCCAGGCGGGCAAGACCCCAGTGTAAGACGACACATGAATGCACAAAAAAGGCTGACTGCTGACATACGCGGCACAGCAAGCCCGAACGTCCCGGTTTTGTTGAGACTCCAGGGCGCAGGAGGTCACAACGGCGCAAATCAGTCGTGGCCGATGCCGATACATATGAATCGACGCCAGAACCTGAGGAAGCCTTCGCAAAGTCCTTGCCATCCACCGACAGCACCATGTCCCTCGAAACAGGCCACACCAATGGCCATGCCAACGGAAATGGAACTACCAATGGACACGCAAATGGACACAACAAGCAGGAAAAGGTTGAATTAGACTTTGCGTTCGAGGCCGAAAAGTTCTTTGCCCCCAAGGACCCTTCTGGCCTGGGCGAATTTGGAGGTGCAATCGGAATGGGCAGTATGATGATTTGCTTTCCTGCACTCATGTACTACATGTGGATCGGAGCCGCTTTCTACGATGGCAAGTTCCCTACACGTACCCAGGGCCAGAGCTGGTCAGACTTCTTTGGCCATATGTGGTACCTGGTCAAGACGGAAGCCTACCCCAACAACAAAGCATGGCAAATTTACTGGTTCTTCGGACTGATGCAAATGGCCTTTTACATGTTCATGCCGGGTGTCTACCGCAAGGGCAAGTCGCTTCCTCATCTGGGTGGAAAGCAGTTGGACTACTACTGCTCAGCAATGTGGTCCTTCTATTCTAGCATTGTCATCATGCTGACCCTGCACTTTGGCGGCTACTTCAAGCTTTACACCTTGGTTGATGAGTTTGGCCACATCATGAGCGTTGCCATCATCTCTGGCTTCCTCTGCTCGACCATCGCATACGTCTCTGCTCGCGTCCGCGGCGCAACCGTCCGCATGACCGACAACTTTATTGTCGACTTCTTCCTCGGTTCTGAGCTCAACCCCCGTCTCTTTGGTATCTTGGACTTTAAAATGTTCCTTGAAGTCCGCATCCCTTGGTTCATCCTCTTCTTCCTTTCGCTTGGCACGTGCTTGAAGCAGTACGAGCAATACGGCTACGTTTCCCTCGAAGCCATCTTCCTCCTATTCGCACACTACCTCTACGCCGGCGCCTGCGCAAAGGGCGAGCACCTCATCATCACAACCTGGGATATGTACTACGAGAAGCTTGGCTTCATGCTCATCTTCTGGAATATGGCTGGTGTGCCTTTGTCGTACTGCCACTGCACTCTCTACATCGCCTACCACCACCCCTCCGAGTACGATCTCCCGACCTGGTTCACCGTTCTTCTGACTCTTGCCTACCTCTACGCCTACTACATCTGGGACACGACCAACTCGCAAAAGAACCAGTTCCGCCAGGAAGAGCGTGGTGTGGTTGAGGAGCGTACCACTTTCCCCTACTTTAAATACGGCCGCATCGAGAACCCCAAGACTATCCAAACTGCCCACGGAAACAAGATTCTGGCTGATGGCTGGTACGGAAAGGCACGCAAGATCCACTACACCTGTGACTTTTTCTTTGCCGTCAGCTGGGGCCTCATCACTGGTTTCAGCAGCCCGTTCCCTTGGTTCTACTCTGTCTTCTTTGCCGGCATGATTATCCACCGCGCAATGAGGGACATTGAGAAGTGCAGGGAGAAGTATGGTGAGGCATGGAAGGAGTATGAGAGGCAGGTGCCTTATCTTTTCATCCCAGTAAGTCGATATGTTCCCTTTTGTACAAGCATCACTCGCTAACGTTGTATTGTAGTACGTCTTTTAAGCACGCGACTAATCCGTGTATCCGAAACTCAATCTCTCTGTGTACTATACAGGTTCGGGCTCGTGCCTCAGCTCACTCGGAATTAGTTGCGTACGTACATGATTTTGATCCATGCCATGTTCGGCCGACTTTGTATGTACTGTGTTGGATGGCTGTTTTATCTCTAATGGTAAGGGTTTCTGTGTATAAAAGATACTAGACGAGAATACGTATTGTAAATGGTTGTAATGGAGGCAGTAATGCCATATATGAAGTATATCACCGATAATGTCATTTGTTCACTCGCACTGGATCTTTGGCATGGCAAGAAGAATGGGGAAAAAGACAAAATATTAATGGTAACATCTATGGTAGAAAGTCGGCAAGCAAAGACAATCATCCCCTGCGTCTCGTGCTTGGGCTCTTGCCAGCCGCGCGACCGGTGGACACGGAGCGCGTTGGCTCCTTCTTCTCGCCTCCGGCCACAATGGGCTTCTCGAGTTTCTTGGATTGAGTCTTCTTGGATGCGGGCGCGTTCCAGTAGTACATGACCTGAAGGAAGAGGATAACGTTGAGAGAGAAGCCAGCAATGAATCCGTAGAGGATGAGCGGATCGTCGACTTCCTGGATGGTGGTGAAGATGCGAGAGAGGGAGCCGAGGAGGTAGTTAATAACCTACATCACACGCCACATTAGTCGCGACATCCAAAGAAAAAGAAGGAGAAAAGGGGGAAAGGGGGGAAACTCACAGCAAAAGCACTCAGCTGTCCCGTACCACCCTCACTCCACACGGTCAAAATCTGCGGCACCTTACTCGCAACGCCCAACACACCCGCACTCGCCTGCAACAAAGCCAACCTCTCCTCACCCACCAGCTCCTCATTAAACAGCGCCGCCCCCGCCGCCATCAAGCCACCAACCCAGGCCGCAATCCCGATCCCCCTGCCACTATACTTGAGCACCAAACTCGCAATAGCAATGTTCTGCACCAGAATCAACGCCGTCTCGCCAAACGTGCTAAACGGGAATCCATGGCGCACGTTGTACGCGAGCGAAATGAGGTACGATCCTGATTCGAGCAGGTACGAGAGAAACGAGAGGCCGTCTGCCGACTGCGAGTTGAGCAACTTGAGGAGCTGCGGGATCTTGACAATGGACGAGGCGCCGATGATGCCGATGCCGAGGCCCTTGGAGATGGCCAGTTTGACGCATTCGGTTGCGCTGAGGTCGACGTTGTAGATGAGGGTTTGGTAGCAGCTGGGGCCGAGGAGCGAGACGCCTATGTCTGCGATGGGTTGGGGCAGCGCGCGGGTTAGGGGTTGGAGGGTTGATTGGAGGGCTTCCATGGTGGAAAGCGCGGGTTGGAGATTGTGGGCGTGCTGTGATGTTTGTGTTTGGTGTAATGCGCCCCGGTAGAGAAAGGGGAGGGGGGAGTGGGAGAGAGGGGTGTCGTGGGAAGGACACTTTTCGGATGCCGATGTGTAGAAAACAGGGTCCAACAAAAGTGTCTTGTTCGAAGGATCCACTGACGCAACGCTTGGCGTTCGCGTGCAGGGGTGTCTGACCATCACTTCCGCGATCTGTCCCAAAAAAAAATCAAGTAAAGATTACACATAAATCGGATTGCATTTTTATGCTACAAATTTCCATGGCGCCATTTCCTCTAGGGAAATTGAATTCCTGTCATGATGATCCCCATTCCCACACAACTCCTTGTTCCCAATCAAGACGCGATACATGGCGCCTCGTCCTAATCATAGCCACCTCTTCATACCCTCATCGGCACACCAACTTCTGCCGAGAGAAGAGAATGCGGGGATTTTGGGAAATTCAATTCCTCCGCCAATATATTGTCGCTCATACACAATTGTGCACCTCGATCCCTCTTCATATTTGCTGGGGCATGCTTGTAGCATGTGGCGGAGGCACGGGCGCAACATCCCTTCGATCAGACAGATCTCCCGTTTGAGACATCGTGGGCTGTTGATTCTGTATGACAGCATTGTGCGGAGGAGGTGGCGTAGGAACAGGTGAGATGCCAGCAGGTGGATGGTATCCTGTATCCGTGAGTCTACCAGACACCGGGTTGTAGATGCCAGTCCTGGATTGAAGCTCGTAGTTTTCATCCTCTTCCGAAGACGAGTAATCATAAGTGTCCATCTGGCGTTGGCGTGCGACGTCCGCAGCAAAAGGATTGGTGGAGGGCAGTTGATTGGTGTACCTGTTGACCTTGGAGGATATGCCGGATGTCATGGTTTCGGTCCGGTAATTACTCGATGCGCCCGTATCACTTCGGTTTACGCCATACTGAGATCCCGATTCCTGCCGTCTTCGCTGAGAATTATGAATTTGTTGGCGAAAAACATTGCCTCCAACATCACCATCTGGAGGAACCACAGCTGTGGCGGAATATCCTGATGCTTCCCCACGCTCTTCGTCTACCGGCTTGTTGATAGCTCTTAACGTTTGCATATCGTCCTCCGTCATCATTGGTACGTGCGGTGGTGCGCGTGATGCTTTGCCCCAGGCACGAATGGGATATGCGCGTCCCTTGCGCCAGGTCTCGGAAACAGGAGGGAAGTATTGTCGGTACGAGCCCCATGCCACGAGTATGCCAAGTAGGGCGCCTGAAATGACGTCGAAGGGGTGGTGACGGGCATCCATGATACGCGTTCCCGTAATGAGCGCAGCGCCGAGTGTGGGGACCATGACAATGAACGTTCTCCAAACCTCACCCTTGGCGTCCAAAACGTGGAGTTTTCCGGAAAGGTAAATGGAGAGGTAGAACAGGCCGGCAAAGGAAACTGCGAAATGTCAGCAAAATTGCCATACACGAGAGAACAGATGCCGTACCGCTGCTGTGTCCGGAGGGAAAGCTCTTGAAGCCATCTTGCAGAATGTAGTTGTCCTTTTGGGTGCAAATGTCAATGGTTTGAAGGGCGTAGCGCTCCGTGTTAATCTTGGCTTGATCCACAAGACACCTGTCGGCTGTCAGTCAATGCTCCTACGTGGTGTGCCAGGGACCAATTAACCGGCTAATGAGGTCCGGTCGCGGCTTTCCGATGGCATTCTTCAAAGCCCCGGTGATTGTAAAGGCAGCGCCGATACTTAGGCCCAGCCCAAGTATACCGCAGTTCAGCTCCCACAGCCTATCCTTGAACCTGTATCTTCCCGAAAGACGCTTGAGGCCGGTGCGATTGGCAGGCATGGCAGTCTGGTGCGAGAACAGACCATCGATGACCATGGTATATATGCCAATGATGACGGCGGGGGCGAGGACGACGTAGACACATAGCCATATGACGGGCACGCGCTCTTTGGTGGCGAAGGGGTAGTGGAGGGTGTAGTTGTCGAGCGAGAAGGGTTGGTGGAAGGGGGGGATTTTGTCGACAATGGCAAAGGTAAGCATCAAAACGCTGTGAGGTTGATTAGCACTAGCCTTGCTATTGAGCCGGCAAGGAAGGAGGTCGTGTGCAGCGGAAGGGCCGGCCCTACATGATTATGAGGTAATCGCCGATATACCTGCTCTGGTCAGCACTCAATACGCCTCGAGGGTTGCCGGCTTCACGCACGAGAAGATGACTTTCTTGGAGAGCCGCTTCTTGGAGAAGGGCAGGCGCTCAGGGAGCTGCTTGGACGTCCAGTCGTCCATGGCGCACTACACAGCCCGAGCGGCGGTTGGGATGCAACAGTGCTTGGTGGTTTGCAGCCGCAGCCGCAATTGTGAGGCCCTGCTTGTGGGTATACACGACGCTGGTGGGCGGTGAGGAGCACGGTCAAAGGCTAGGGGGGAGGCTTGGGAGGCTCGCTGACGGGGTGAGGCCAAACATGCGGCCCTCGCAGAGAGGCGCGTGGGAAGAAGAAAAGAGGGGAATGGGGTGCGGGAAGAGAGTACAACACAGCGGGAGAGATGGAAACAGAGTGGTATTTGCCCTTGGCTAGCACCGCCCCAAGAAGCTCAAAGGAGCATGTCTAAGAGAACAACCACACCCTCCCTGTGTGCTTGCAGGGTGGCTGAGGAGCTGACGCGCTGCCGTCGCTTGGCTCTCCACAGCCTGGCCGCTAGCCGCCTCGAGATCAGCGTTTGGTTGAATGCAGCGACCGTGGTTGCCGGCCGGAGCTTTTTGGGTATATTTAGTCGTGCCTCGGTGCGCCTGGGGCTAGGGAAGATGCATGCACCAGCTGCTTCTGGCTCGTCTGCTATACGCCCAGCAATGACAGCCGTCGTGGGCTCGCCGGCCGCTCCCATCCACACATGGTCGCAGCAATAGGCGCAGCCGACTGCATGTGCCCCGTCTTGCTTGCATCCATCGCCCCGACTTGGCGCGCGTTGGCGATCGACTTATTTCGTCGCCGCCTCAGGGCCCGACTCTCTACTCGCACATCAATTCCTGCCTCGCCGCCGCCGCCATGTTCTCCAGGTTCGCCAACGACAAGCAGCCGGCTCCCAAGGCTGCCGAGGTCGCAATCGCCAAAATCTCAAACATCTCGGCAACCCAGCTGTCCCGGTTCGAGCGCCTCCCAAAGATTCAGCGTTATGCCATCCTCGGCGCCGCCTCGGTCGGCGGCCTGTCGCTTCTATGGGCATTGACTTCCTCATCAAAGCCTGCCAAACGACTGCCTATCCCCTCTCCCCGCCGCTCTTTGCTGCCCGACATCTCGCCTGAGGATGTTGCCGAACTGCCCTACCATCCCGCTGCCTTACCAGGTGCCCGGGACGTGGATTCGCCCTTTGGATCTATCCGCGTCTACGAATTCGGCCCCAGGGACGGTGAAAAAGTTCTTCTAATCCACGGCATCTCGACCCCAAGTATCGCTCTGACCGATCTTGCGCACAAATTGGTGGGCAGGGGACGACGTGTCATGCTCTTTGGTGGGTCCTTCTCTTGTTGTCATCGTCATCACTAGTCTTTGGACCATCCAGCTTTGCACATAGTCAACCCGACATCACAAGGAAACCTCATGTAGGCGCGATCTAGCGCATGCATCTCTTTCCAGAGCTCTTTTGGTCGCATAATGTATGGACAATACCCCGCGCCCACGCTGGATCGTCCTTTGCGCATGTGCTTTGCCTGTTTAGGCAAGGGTCCCGCCAGCCCTACCAAACGGTGAAGCACGTGCACCGCACGTCCGATCCTGCATCGGATCTGCACAACGGCTTCAAGTCACCGGTTATGGACATGTTGGGTGCCTGAAGCAGAATGTCTTTGGAGACCTTGTTCAATGTCCTTGGATTCTGCCACTGTTTCGTTCCTATCGCATACCACAACAAAGCTAACCAATGGACCAGACCTCTTTGGCCGTGGATATTCAGATGGTCCCTCGCCTGAGACTACCAACTACGATGCCACCCTCTACACGACCCAAATCATGCTGGCTCTTCAGTCATCATCATTGCATTGGTCGAACTTCACCATAGTCGGCTACTCATTGGGTGGTGCCATTGCTGTTGACTTCACATCGTACTTCCCGCACCTGGTCAAGGGCCTTGTACTCGTCGCCCCAGGCGGTTTGATCCGCAAGTCCCACGCTTCAATCTCAAGCAAGATGCTGTACAATAGCTCATGGATGCCCGAATGGATGGTCCGCAGGCTAGTTGCAAGTAAACTCTGGACCGGCGCCAAAACCGTCGAGACCGATCCCGAAGCCATTGAAAATGCCGAGACCACAACCACAACCACCAGAAGTGAGGGCGACAAAACCTACGTCTCAAGCAACCAAATGCTCCTACCCGGAAACCCGCACAGCACCGTCTCATCCGTTGTAGACTGGCAGATCAAAAACCACAAGGGCTTCATCCCAGCATTCATCTCTACCATCCGCCACGCCCCCGTCTTCAACCAGCACGACCGCTGGAATGTCATCCGTGAGAACATCGAATCCCGCGCCGGCCCCCTACGAGAAGTCTGGCTCGTCCTCGGCGAAACAGACCCCATCATCGTCGCCGACGAGATAACCGAGGACGCGCGCGCCGCACTGGGCGAAGAAAACGTCCGCGTCAAGGTCCTCGACGGCGTCGGCCACGAAGTCGCCATCGAGCGCGCAGACGACATTGTCCGCGTCGTCCGACGCATCGACGGCAAAGCCGAGGTCCGCGAAGTCAGGGAAGTAAGGGAAGAGGAGAAGCCGGAGCGCTACGAAAAGCCTGAGCGACCCGAGAGATCTGAGAGGTCTGAGAGGCCTGAAAAGGCAGAGAAGCCTGAAAAGGCCGAGAAGAGCGAGAAGAAGGAGAAGAAGAGCTCGAGTCGGAGGAAGCATGGCGGGTCGCATGCTAGCTCTAGCACGAAGTAAGGACAGCCCATGTGTATATGTATCACTGTGCGTCCTGGTGGTGCCTTGAAATGCAGTCACCTGAAGAATCTAAACAAGTATATAAAAGATGACAAATAAAAATGTAAAACGCATCATGATGTTCGTTCAAGAGGTTAGAATGGCGTCATAAAAGACGACCTCTCGAGCATTCATTTCACTGCATCTGGCAGTATATCTAGCTTCCTACATGCATCATCCAAATGCGTATAATACAGTAAAGATTGGACAAAACATGGGACCTTCAATCAAGTAAACGGTGCATAAAGGCTAGGCACTTGGATGATTCCAAAGACCCTTTACGCCCTGGGCCTCCCCTCAACAATAGCCAACTGCCTGCGCTCCTCCTCCTCAAGCTCCCCAGCCTCATAATACAAATCCTCCTCATCAATATCCGCATACCCAAACACACTCCTATAAAGCCGCTCGCCCAGCCCCTTCTTCTGCGCCATAGCCAACACCATGACAATGGGAAGGTGCCAGATACTCGCCCAGAACAGACCCCTCGCCGTCCCCTTGTTCCCCTCTGCTTTCCAAAACTGCCAGGCCTTGAGCACCATCCAGCCATTGACTGCGCTGCTGGTGACTACGTAGCTCCAGTCGGTGACACCGCTGTACGACAAGCCTATGCAGATGGGAAACATGAGAATGGCATATCTGAGCGCAACGCGCCCGTTCATGGCGGGGTTAACCCAGGCCAACATGCGATACCCCGCGTTGCGGTACTCGTCGCGGATAGACCAGCTCAGGGCGTTGAAGTGGGGAAACTGCCAGGCGTACAGGAGCGCGGCGCATAGCCAGCCGCCAGCCGAGCCCTCACCGAATAGCAATTCCTGCCACGTGCCGTCGTGAGCGTACTGGTTCGCTGCCGCTGTCCAGCCCATTAACGGGGGGATTCCTCCGACCACGGCGCCTACCCATGTGTTGAGGACGTGCATACGCTTCATAGGTGTGTAGACGCCGGCGTAGAGGACGATGTTTGCAGCGCCGAGAAACGCCGTCGTGGGATTGACGCCGTAATATAGCGCGCCCGTGCCGAGGACGCCGCAGGCAATGGCGAACGCAATAGCCCCACGTGGGCTGATGAGTTTCCGGACGAGCGGCCGGTTGCGCGTGCGGCTCATTTTGGCGTCGTGTTCGGGCTCCATGAGCATGTTCAAGGCATTTGCGGAGGCCGAGCAGAGCGCTGTGCCCGATGTGAGGAAGAAGAGTGTGAGGGTTGAGAGAGAGGGCGTGGCGGTTGCGGCGGGGGCTAGCAGCCCGGGGACGGGGTATAAAGAGTATGCGGCGGTTGCTGTGAGGACGACGAGGAAGGAGAGGCGGGGTTTCGATAGTGAGAGGTAGGTGGTTAAGAGGCGCTTTAGGGATTGGTTCGGGAGACTCGAGGATATGTTTGCTAGCTTCGACGAGGCATCGTGGGGGATGGGGTAGGCCGTCTCCGGGTCCTCCATTGCCTGCTCTTTTGCCTTTTTCCGCCGTCGATGTGGGAGGGCTTCTTCTGCTGTGACTGCGGTATGTTCCTTGTTCGATTGCTGCCCATTTCCCGATCGTATTGAAATAATTGAACTCTGCAATTCATGTGTCGATGTCCAAAACGAGTCCTTTAATAATGGATTTGCTCGGAAATAGCCTTTGGCGAAGGTGTTGCTGTCTTTCCCGGTAGTTACAGCGCTGGCTCTATACGACGAAATCGACGAGAATGCCTGCCGCGATTGCGGCGGCGCTTTGGCAAGCCTCCGCCAGCATCGCAGGCATACTGAGTTTGTATCCCGCACTGCAATTGGCCGGGGCAGTATTGGTCGGAAGCTCATGGCGGCATGGGGGGTTGAGCTCCAGCGGACGGCCAGTTTGGAGTGCGATGATGAACTTTTGGGAGGCACATGGACGCAATGCCAAGGCCCCGCGGCACCAGCCACTCAGCCATCGCCCATTAACATTAGTTACTACAACACAAACTGACCATCTCACTGCAAGCCACGTTCATCAGTCAGTTGTTGATTTACTGGTTAGTAGAGGCCAACAGACGAGAAATTGCCGTGTTTCGCTTGTTACAGATGCCATGGCCATCACACTATTATGTCCAAATCCGGAAGCTTGTGCTCGACCATTGGCATACAAAACTACAGCTTCAGATCGTGTCACAATATGACGATTGATAGCAGTATCTGCGGCTGTGTCTTTCATGCCGCATAATTCCAACCTAGGCTGAATACAACCATATATCTTGCAGAGCCACCTTCTGGGTTTCGTCCACCAATGAATGCGCGTCAGCCTGCAGCAGACCTACCACTTCGGGTTTCGGCCCCCAGGACCACTATGAGGAGGCTGTGTAAGCCACAGAGCCATTACCTATGGCCTCCAGGACACAATCCCTTTCTCCACGGTCGCTGAACCGTCGTTCGCATCTTTGCCCATTCAAATGGCCGAAGTCATTGGCATCGTCGCGTCCGCCATCACCATCGGCGCAAGTGCAGCTCAACTCTCGCTTGCCCTGTTCGATGTAGCACACACAATCAAGAACGCCCCCAAGCAGATTGCGGAGATTGGTAGGTATTCCAACCCTCTACACACGGGACAGCCTTCTGACCAATAACAGCGGAGGAGTTCTCCTTGGTTTCTGAGAGTCTGCAAACACTTGCAGATATCATTCGTGCCAATCAGAACTTGTGCAAGCCAGCGCTTTTTAAAAATACTCATACCATAATTTCACGGTACAAGCAAGTTGACGCCGAGATCAAGAAATTGATAGACACGCCCCGGAAACTGGCAGGACTTCAGTGGTACATCAACAAACCCAAAGCAAAGGGGCTTCTGAAAAAGGTTGAAGGCATCAAAACCGCCCTTATCTTAGAACTGAACATCATACGCCTTGCAAGAGAAGAATTCACTCGCCCGTATGTCTCGTCATTTTGTCACATGCTAAATATCCACTGACCTATGTAGTCATACCGAAAATGGACCCAGTATTTCAGTTGGACTTCCACCAAATTTCAATCGGTTTCGAAAAGTGGTAGAGAGTGCCGTTCAGGCCAACCGTAAAGTAGTAGAGAACGCGCAACAGGACGACAAGGATTCCGGTACCGGAAGACAAAAGTATACTAATGCAGAATTAGATATATGGAAAGAGGGTTCTTTTGATACTGCAACATGGCTGTATCATTTAGTCTTCAGCCCCGATACGCCCGACGCATCTGAAGCAAGTGCAAAATCACGTCGACTTCACCAAGCCTCTGTTGCTGATGAGTCCCATTCCTCTGAAGAGGATTCAACTTCGCATAGGCAAGAAGAAGATTTAGAAAAAAAGTCCTTGATTGTGTGGAATAAGCAAACCGAACCTAGCTTGGTTGTAGACAGGCTTCTCTCCTCCTGGACTACGCTGTCATCTGATCAGATCACTCGTAGCGCAGCCAATCAAGATGGCAATGAATGGAGAGAAGACCTCTTGAAAAACATTGAACAAGCGAAAAAGGAAGATGACTTATCTTTCGATCAGTGGGAGTTACAGAACGAGCCGGTGAGATCAGACGATGAAGATTTCAAAAGTATCGATGATGACTCCTTGAGCGGCATCACTATGCCAACATACAATTTCCACAGCAACACCAGGAATCACCGCAGCCGTAGTGTGTCGCGACCGGGTGATGATGATGATGATCCGTGGTCCTTCAAGTCTGGGGAGTCGCTGCTGCGTCGCAATGTACAGCCTGATCGGCCCAATATTCGCATTGTCGACACTAGTAGGGAACCAAGGCCAAAGCGGTTATCTCGTGAGCACCGAGTGAGGTGGGAAGAAGACATGTCGCCTCTTGAGCGCGCACGCGCGCGCGAACGCCGCGAAAGGGACTCGGGATACACAAGACATTTGTATCCTGATAACGAGAGCATTACATCCAGAGTCCATACCATCAACAGTGATCGAAATACTTCTACTAAGGGTAGGCCTACAAATCACTTCTCCAGCGCAACCGCTTCCAGCTACAATCCATTTGATCCGAAACCCACTCCATGGAATGACCACTTTGAACGAGTGCCATCATGGCAGGAACCAGTTTCAGCATTTCAACAAGGGTCATCAAATCCCTTCAGCCATCCTGTCGATTCTTGGGCTCATTGGTCCTCTGCCGCACCTCCTTATTATGTTCCTCCTCCTCCACCTGCTCCAATACCACCGCCAACTCCAACTCAATTCCATCCGAATCCATCATTCCAAGATACTCGTACTTCTCCTCCACCTAGTCCTCGTGTTTCTCGAGAGGAGCAGTCAGATGAAGCCAAAACATCCACGAAAGAGAACGCCATCGTGACCGCGATAGAGAAATTGCTGGAAAAACGAGGCCAAGACAACCAATTAGATCCAAACGAGCCACGCTTCTTGAAACTGATGGAACTCTTGACTGCACAGCAAGAGCGTGAAGCACAGAATGAGCGCGAGCGAGCCAATGCAGCCATCGAAACTCAAATGAAATTGATGCAAGCAATGCATGACAAAGACAACGAGCGATTGAAACAACTCGAAAGCCTCGTTGAAGAGAAAAGGGGTGTAGAGGTGGCACTACAAACTATATGGAAGGAAGAAGCTGAGAAAAAAGCTCAAGAAGCGAGAAATTCCGTCATGGAAGAGATGGCTGAGAGGCAAGCATTGGCAGCTAAAGCAAGGGATGCAGAGAGACAAGCACAACAAGAGACCGAAGCAAGAGCGGCCAAAGAGATAAAACGACTGGAACGCAATCACCAAAAAGAAATCAAGCGTTATGAGGATTTGCTGCGAGGTTTTCAAGATCAACAGCTGAAGGCAGAGCAGGACGCCCAACTACCGATACGCCGAACTCGCATTGCTGAAGGCAATCGCAGTGTTGATGTCACGGAGTACTCAACTGACAGACGGAATCCTTTTCTCTCATCTTTGTCAAATCTAAGAAACCTCCAGTATGGATTTGCTCAGTTTGGGACAAGCCTCAAACCTCCAAACACTCAGCCACAACATCCACGGCACTCACGTCGCAACAGCTTTCGCAGCTCGACTCCATCTTTGCAGTCTTCTCATGCATCAATAGGGACTGAGAATACATCTAATGCGACTGAATCTTCCCAGCAGCTGATCATCTTTCCAGCAAAAGCTGATCGAGCATCACGACAAATAACTAAGCTCCAGACATCGCTTGCTTCACATGGCATTGACTCCACCTTTGAGGACCCAGAGGAAGACCCTGGCAATCAACTAGTACCCTATCACCACGGTGATTCGGGCGACCAATTAGTGCGAAGTACTATTTTTTGGGAAGCTGCAATGCTGGGCTTGGGAAGCGAGCTTCTGTCGACCATGAGGCAAGTTGGATGGAGACCGGCGTATATGAGAACTTCTGGTAGGAGTCTTCTATCTCATTTCAACCTCATTGTTCTAATAAGATTCAGAAAAAGGGCAAACCCACTTTCTCGGGAACCAACCGGTGCATGCCTTTTTTTTCAGTCCAGACTACAAACCTCAATTTTCTCCGTCCACGAGATCGTCCTTCAAGGAGACCGTTGTCATACCAAAGTCCCTGGTGAAGAAATACGCATTGATTGAGTCGGGCTTCGCGTATGAAGCCAAGGACGAGGGAGTCTACGAGGGAGTCTACGTGTTGGATGGGAGGCTTACTTATGTGAGTAAACACGGGTACTGTCGACGAATGTGAGTCTAACATGATTTAGAACGATATTGAAAGTCTTGTAGAGAGATCTTTCATGATGAGAGAAAACGATTATCGACGAATATACCGGGAACTCCAATGCCACTACGACAAAGGCACCAACAAAGCATCGTCAACCCGACACGATAGATCATATACGCCATCAATATCTTCCACTGCATCCATTTACTCGAGAGATGGCGACCACACATCTTGTGCCGACAGCGATACAGACACTGAAGGCAAACAAAGCTCCAGAGCTACCACAGTCGCTCGCTATGGCCATAGTGATGACGAGGGCGATCGTGTGTCTACGCGGAGTAGAAGCAGCAGAGGCGGCAGCCCGGTCAAGTCGCCCTCGATTGTTTCCTGGGAGTCAAAATCAACCAATCCCTTTCGTAAACACATGATTCAGGTCAAGGAAATCAATGATGCCCCTAAGTCACAGTCTCCGAGCGTGAGTATTTGGGATGATCCGACGCCTGAGCCACTTGTGTAGCGTTCTGGCCAGCAGAGCCCACGAAGATGAAAGCAAATAAACTCTAGAGAATAGATAGGCAGGGCGTGTAAGAGAAGATCTGGTAATCGAGAAGCGTTTCCATGGCGCTTACACGTAATTGGGAATAAACCTGGATATGTAATCTTCTTTGTGGACCCTATATCTACATGAAGATAGTTTGCATTTGTCGCACGTCCAAATACCATTTACCACGCGTCTTTGGTTGCATTTTTTCTATTACCACGTCACTCTGTCGTGAAAGTAGCCTGTGGACACACAGTATATCATCTAAGCTACTCTCTCTTGCAGTAAGCAGTAGTTCAGTACAAACATCGCCTGGACTGCCACTACCGGGCGCTATCATCCTCTGTAGTGTTCAGTTTGAGAACTTTGTTTAGTTTTTTGACATGTATTTCATGGTATTCATTCGATATATCACTAGTGATATAACATGTCTCTCTGTTTGGTAAAAGGCAAAATAAACGTGTCGCGCAGGTAAAAGTGGGTTACCGAGCTCTTTCCCATCCACTTCTTTTGTTTTGGACTAGTCTGAGGTGAGCCTAGTTTGTAGGCTCACTATATAGATACCTACGCTACTCCCGTTCTATACAGGGCAGTGATCCAATACAATGGCCACCTGAGCTATTGTCACCAGCAGCTATTTTCATAGGCAGAATGTTTCATCAAACAAACGAGTGAGGGATTTCCAAGGGCCCACATGTCACTTTACCTGAATTCACCTCGGTGAAAGCGCTAATGAGACAGCAAACTCACTTCACCTCAGTATGATCACCAGTCACAAGCCGTTTTCGCCTTCCACTGGGTAAATTTTCCTCCCGCCCTGTATTTACACCCTTGCCCTCCCAAGGTAAACCAATACATCCCACTCAACCTCACGTTCGATCGAAACTTTCTCTTGTAACCCACAAACATGTCTTTTTCGAAGCTGTCAACCGAGTTAGACACCAAGATCTTGGAATACCTACACGATGACCGCTCATCTCTCTCCGCCATGTCAATGGTATCTAAATACTTCCGCCGCATCACCGAGCCAATCCTATATCGGGACCTCTGTTTCCCCCAGATGACAACCAACCAAATGAAGAAACTCCTTACGATAGTCCTATCGCGACCACAGCTTGCAAAGCACGTCCGCAGCCTCACAATGGTACCCGAGAGAGAGAGTTCATTCAACGGCACCGACTGCACTCCTTCAGAAGAGGATATGGAGGCATGGAACCGCCTCCACGAAGCCAACCATCCCGCCCTCCTCACGCTGTCCGAAAAGCTGGAAACCTTCAGCCTGAGCCCCCAATTCGTCCAAGACTGGTTCTCCCCCATCTTCAACTGCACGTTCTTGGACGATCGCCCCTCTCTCCTCGACCCCTTCCTCGCTGTCTTCCTCATCCTAGCCACCAACATCGAAACCATCAACTTAACCGCTACCGCGGGGGAAGTATTACGAAGATCCCGCGCGATCTTCAGTGTCGCATGGTCTCGCTATCCCGTCGACGACACACAGCAGGAGCAGAAGCCCTTCAAGAAATTATCGGACCTGTGCATCGCAAACGAAGGAGTCCGTATTAAGGGATTTGAACGAATATTTCGAGTATGGATCCCAAGCTGTGCAAAGCGTTTGCGGCTCTCGGGCTGGGAAATTTACGCTATTGACCTGTGGGATGAGACAGTGTTACCGCTTCAGCATCTGGATTTGCGGAATGCAACTGTTTCGCCTGCAGACCTGACTCGGTGTTTGGAAACCGGTCAACTCGCTAACCTCCGTCATCTGAATCTGGATGGCATACAGGGGCGGTTTGATCCCGCATTTGGACGACAATTTGATGGGATTATGTTGGGTAGGACGTTGGCGCTGCACACGCCGTCACTAGAGGTACTGGAGATGCGAACGACTGAGCATTCAGTGATTGACCACTCCTTCGATATCGAGGGGCTTGTGGGACTGACGAAGTTGCATACGCTGCGGATTGATATCGAGTATCTTGTGCTTAGGGGTGGGTCGGGGAACCATGATCCAATTCATCCGCATCGGATTCTTCCGGCATCGCTGTGGCATCTGGAGTTTACGCAGGTGCCAGTGCAAAATATCAATGCTTACTGCTTGTATGGGGAGAACGGCCTGTGGCCACCGTATGTTACGCAGTTTATCATCGACACAGTGCAGACGTTTTCGTCACTGGAGTCGTTTGATGTATACCTTACAAAGAGTCTTGATGATGAAGACCTGTCAGAAGCAGGTTCTCATTTGCTTGATAATCTTGTAGCCAGAGGGAGGGCGAGCAAGGTAGAGGTTCAGGTGCATGGTCCAGCATGAGCATGGTCCAGCATTTGTTGCCCTGGACCAGGACAGTTGCGTGGAGCCTGCTACCTTATTGTATCAAGTCATTGCAAGACAAAGAGTAAATGGGAATGGCGGCACTTGATAATGGAAGTGAGTTCTAAAAGAACGAATTCATTGAATGGCACGTGCTTGTTTAATAATGGTTATTCAGCCCCATCATACATGGAGTCTAATCAATGATAAGTCTTCGGATACTTTGCAAAGACTTCCTAAAGTCACCTAACCTCCCTGCTTTGAGGCATGTCTTAGTTTGGACTCAAGTGAAACATTCAAGCTCCCAATGCTAACGGACTTGCCGTCATGATAATATGTTGCAAATGTGTTACGCCCCTTTTTCCATGAAGAAATAGTGAAGGGGTAATTGACACTGCGTTCATATATCGCCGTCTCGGAGAGTAGGTAAGAGATTGACAACTCCAATACCTCTCGCAGTAATTTTGGCGAAGATGTTAGGGCTATAGCCTCTTTCTCGTTCCTCCAACATCACCCAGCACAGGTGGTCCATGCAGAAAAATAAAATTCTTTCATTGTCCTATCAAACGTTATGTACACAGCAGTCCTTCGCAGTGAGAATGATCCGTCTTTGTTTTCGTATCCGTAATCGCAAACATTTTTGTCGCGCGCGCAATCGCGGTAGAAGTAACACCGACCAGTTTATTGAATCAGAGATGCCGTCAAAGCGTCCGTTATGTAACAAGGTGGGTGTGCCGAACGCTGAAGTCATGCGGCCACATCCAAATCTACCAGCGAACCACTTAAGCACCCGAAGGAGAGAGTTCGAAGGCGGATAAGGAGAGCTGCTCAGCTAATACACGCTAGGCTTTCATCATCTAGAATGCGTTGTTAGTTGGGTTCTCGAATCGTCTTAAAAGAGGCGCTTACATGTTATAAACTGGAGGGATAGCGAGAGGAAGTCGGGTGAGGGCTACAGAAAGATTTTGAAGCTCCGAACGATGGTCCATGCGTAGTTAGTCCAAATGAAGCTTAGTCGAATATCGGCCTTGGCAGCATATCGAGATTTGGCAGCAAAGGCATTGAGCCAGTATCTTCGCATCTAAACAATTTCAGGGTCCAATTGGCCGGCATCTATAAGCATGAGTCTCCTACATGCATCGAAGCATGTAGCAAATCGGGGTGCATGCTTGCGCAATTCCTATGTGGAAATATCCCGTTTCTTCAGACCACGCCATCACGAGATCACGACGAATCGAGTAACATCAGGTTTGCCAATCTCAATCCGATGCCTTCAGACGTTGCAGTCGACTCAAGAGAATTTTTCATCCGACGAGAGACTCAGAAAAACGCTCAACGACTTCAAGGCGACCAGTATGTTCGCCCCACCAAGTCCATTTCCAGCACTTATTGAAATGTAGTCCGGTCCTCATCATGGGAAAAACTTGACAATGCATGGAACGATGGGCAATTAGCCGACCATGAGCTTGGCCAAGAAATTGAGATTTTTGGGTATGTTAGTACTCGACGAGATGTCAGCAGCAAGCTCTCGTTTACTATGCTTCGCAACAAGAACCAGACGTCTTGTATCCAGTTAGTCTCCAGCTCGAACAACCCGGAAGGAGAACAAGCCGAAGCACATGCTCGCCTCCGCTCATTGAAAGAGTGGACTCCAGTCATTGTAAGAGGTACGCTCGCTGAGCGCCGACCAGCCAAGGACGATCATTTCCTCGGTATGAAGTTGGTCACTACTCGAGAAATCGCTGTCACACACGTCGAGCCACTCAATGAGATCCCCAATGACATAATTATCAAGAACGATACTGTTTTTGGACCTGACCAGCGGCATTTGCAACTTCGCACAGATTCGGAGCTGCGTTCTAACATCCTTCTGAGATCAAAAGCCATGGCTAGAGCAAGGCTGAGTCTGACTGAAGTCGATTGGAAAGAGATTGAAACGCCCATTCTTTTCAAGTCGACACCCGAGGGTGCGCGAGAATTTCTTGTTCCAACTCGTCAAAAGGGGCTCGCGTATGCATTGCCGCAGAGTCCTCAGCAGTACAAACAGATTCTCATGGCTTCTGGATTTACTAAATACTTCCAATTTGCCCGATGCTTCCGCGATGAAGATCTGAGGGCAGATAGACAGCCAGAGTTCACTCAGGTAGGTCGCCATAAACGTTTACATCTATTTCGTCTAACGACCGTTTGTAGCTTGATATGGAAATGTCTTTTGCAGACGAAGAAGATGTCATGAGAGAGACAGAGAGGCTGCTAAGGAAACTCTGGCAGCGCGTGCTTAACCTGAAGACTCCCGAGACATTCCCACGCATGACGTATCACGATGCAATGTCATTGTATGGATCTGATAAACCAGACTTACGTTACGAGTCCAAGGTAAGACCCATGTTGATATATCTATCGATCTAAATTTGACATGTACAGATACACAACATCATGCGGCACTTGACACCTGATCTAATCAGCAAAATCACTCCACTTGAAAACCCAACCGTCGACGCTATCAAGATCTCTATATCTGAAGACCCAAAAATAACCCGCCAATTTATCGCCAACTTCCTTGACAGCCCAGACGGCAAACCCTACCTCGACAACCCCCATGGCCAACCCGGCGTCTTCATCGGCGACCAATCCAAACCAATGAACGGTCTCGGTCCTCTAGGCCATGAATTCTCAATGGAAGGACCCCAAGCCCTCATCCCCGATCATGGCGACCTCCTCATCCTGCAAGCCCGCCCCGACGCCCCCTTCTCCGGCGGCTCAACCTCGCTCGGAAACCTGCGACTAGCCCTGCACAAAGCAGCCATATCCCAGGGACTCATCGACGCGCCCGCCAAAGATGACTTCCGCTTCCTCTGGATAATAGATTTCCCCTTATTCACTCCCTCCAGCGACTCCGAACCAGGCCAAGGCGGTACATCCGGCTTCTCATCTACCCACCACCCCTTCACCGCCCCCAAAACACTAGAAGACGTCGATCTCCTCCTTACTTCTCCGTCTGCCGCCACAGCAGCCCACTACGACATCGTCGTCAACGGCGTCGAACTCGGCGGTGGCAGCCGCCGTATCCACTCTGCTCCCATGCAAGAATTCATATTCCGCGACATCCTCCAGATGGCGCCCGAGCGCATCGAGGATTTCAGGCACTTGCTCGATGTGCTGCGGAGCGGGTGTCCGCCGCATGCTGGCATTGCGCTGGGCTGGGACCGCCTGATGGCGATGATGTGTGGTAGGGAGAGCGTGAGGGATGTCATTGCGTTCCCGAAGAGTGGGCGCGGAGAGGATTTGCTGGTCAAGAGTCCGAATGCTGTTACCAAGGAGCAGTTGGGGGTGTATGGGTTGAGGATTGAGGAGTAGTCATGGGGAAAGGGGTAGGAGGATTTTTTTGTAGAGTAATTTGTAGCAAATAGAGAATCTCCTCATGTAGAATTTAGATTATGTTGTTCGTTACTATGGAATAAGCAGAGTATGCGTGTCGTTCAATCCTGTCAGGATACAACACTGAGTGCTCCCAAAGCTGTTTCTCCTTCTCATTACTACTTCCTGCACCCTGTGCTCGTCGTTTTTCGAATCTCTTGCATCGCTTCTAGCAATCCAACATATTACCTAGCTCTTTCTGTATTTCGAACCCACCAATCTCTCACGAGATGTTATATCCCATGGCCCTCAGAATCGCCTTTCCCTCTTCTACATCGTCCGGTTCCCAAACCCGCAACCCATACGACTCCAAGAAGTCCTTGAAGCCACGAAATCCCTGAGCCTTCGCCGCCTTGTAGGTAGTTGTGATTTTTGATTTGTCGGGTTCAGAAGACATGTTGTTGGTCTGTCGTACGTATCTTGGAGCGGGAAAAAGTTGGTTGAGGTAGTACTTTAAATGGTTGGAAACTGGGGGTGTAAATGAGATCCTTCCTTCAATTTAAGAACGGCGAGTAGTGTGGAGCAGCGAGAAAGAGGCTTTGGAAGGACGACTACGTTTTTATGCCCAGTAAGACGGGTCGACGCGGGGAATTATAAAGGAGCGGGGGCGCGGGGGAGAGCGGCATGTGATCACGCGTGTCGACGCGTCTCCTGTTCATACTGCTTTGTACTTGAATACCTCGATCCATTAATCATTGGAAAAAAAGAAACTGGTGATAACAGTATTCAGTTCTCAGAATCCGAGTGCGAGTCCAACGACTCCCAGCATGGCACTTGTCCACCAACCTACTTCGTTCCTCTTGTTGCCAACGGCCATTGCTGTACTGGAAGTAGTGCTCAATCTACTAGTAACCACTCCCGGACGCGCAACATCGGTGATGCTTGCTTCGAAGCCCGTCTTCGGCAGAGTAACGGTAGTTGGCACGGCGCTTACTGTAGCGGTGACAGCGACCCCGCTTGAACTGATGGTGACGAGGGTACTTCCAGCAGGATTTGTGGTAATGGCAACCAATGTCTGATCGGAACTGGGTCCGATGGTGGTGGAGACACCAGGCGTTAGCGTTATTATTGCTGAGCCGAGTGTGATAGAGTTGGGAACGGCTCCTGGTGTAGTAGAGCCTGTAGCACTTGGCATGCCTGGTCCTGGCGTGATGCTATTTCCGTCTCCGTCTGTTTGCGGCACGGTATCAACGGCAGAATCGCCAGTAGAATTGACGGTGGAGCCTTCACCCGAATCGCCTGTTCCACGCGACAAGGATGGCGCTGGCTGCGCGTCAAGCCCTGTAGGTTGTGCATCAGGCCGTGGAGGTTGCGCATCAGTTGCAGTTGGTCGCGCATCAGTTGCAGTTGGTTGCGCAATAGATTGGGTTTGGCCGAGCCGTGAGACTATGTCTGACAGCAGACTGTTCTGTTGTGTCTGTTGTGTCTGTTGTGCCGGTTGTGCCTGTTGTGCGTCTGACAGGACAACCCTAGACGGGATATCACCTGCGGGACTACCCGCATGTTCTTTTGGTGTAGTAGTGGACGGACCAGATGTGTCTTGCGTCACTACGTTGGCTCCCGCCTGGTTCTCCTCTAATTCAAGGCCACCCGCTGCCGAGCTGGGTGTAGCAATAGGCTCGACGCGAGCCGCGGTAGTCGCCCCAGCACGATTTACAGTATTTGTCTCAACATTGATAACCTGTGGGACGCTCGAAGTGCGAACTACATTGGTCGGAGTGGTTGGGCCAACGATGGTCCTGACAACATCAGTGTCCTCAAAGCCTGTGGCCGTTGGAAGCTCTGGTCTTTCCCGTCCGCCACAAAGCCTTGGATTTTCCAAACACTCGTCTGGTATGATGTTAAGATCATCTGATGGCGTTTCCAAAGCGCCCTCGCTGGTTTGGCCAATGGATATGGTGGCCGTAGCATTGACGGGAGGATCGATTTCTGGCAAAAGTAAGTCTTGACCATCGTATTCGGTGGCGAGCGGTGACATACGTGGGAAAGCTGGGACAGCACGGGCGAGGACTACAAGAGTCAGGAGTTCATACGGCAGAAACATCAACATGGTGGCGCGCTACGTATCTGTACACGACAGCTTGCGGTGGGTGTTGGCCAAGTATTGAGAAGCAAAGGACGAGGCCTCTCGGGCTCTGAATTGCCCCAACCCCTTTCCCTCGGCCATGGTCTGAAAACGTTGAAGTTTGTCAATCTTGCCGCAGACAATGCCTCATCCTAGCTAGCCTGAGAGCGAGGAATGGCGCGCGATCACATGCCAAGGGCAATGGGAGATTGGCACGCCGGCGCGCATGCCCATCACCATCCATTTCCACACCGCGAACTGCACATTCTAACACCATCTTGCACTCTAAATTCCCCAACCTGCACTTTGGTGCGATATACAACATGTAATCTACATGTCTGAAGAAATCCAACCAAATACTCGAGGGGACAGTTGAGAACTTGCATAACACGGAAGATTTGAGCTGGACGCCTGAAAACCCAATTTACCAGGGGGCAATTTCATCTCGAGAGATACCATCGTGTATTGCCACTCACACAAGAATCAAAGCATGCATAGGCCCTTCTAGAAAGGCTCAAGGGACTTTGTTGTTGCTGCCAGGGCCACCGTTGGAGCCTAAAAGATACGAAGCATCAGCAAGAGAACGGAGAGCTGGGTCAAGCCGTTGGCACGGACGCGATGCACACCATGCGAACGCCCCAGCCCTGCGTTTTCTTGAACGCAAACGTAACATGACTAGGTCAAAGCGCTGTCGTTAGGGCTGAAAGCACAAACCGCGATAACCTGGAGCCGCCATTGAATGCGTGGAGTGTGGCGTTGGAGACCGCCCCAAGGTATCAACAGCGTCCCTCCAGGCAACCAGTGCGACCTAACAATTCAGGTGACCAGTATCATCAAGCTTGAGTCAGACCACAGCTGCTTGTCGCAGGCCTCTTTGAAGCTCTGGTGAACATCTGGCACACTTGGCTGTTTGCATTGCGAAATGGTGCACCCAACAAACACCAGAGCATAGCCTCTCTGGAGTCTCGCCTGATACCACACTCCATTTCACACCTCCATTCTCTGGGCACAGAAAGGTCATAGTGTCTGGTCAGCCTGAGCGAACGATTGTCAGCCAAAAGCACCCCCGGCTTGAATGGAGATCTAGCAGATTCCATGGTTGAAACACTACAAGCTACGATGAGCCAGCTGCCTGAAAGCAAGGACATTCAGTAAATTTTACGAACACACAGGAGAAAAGTGAGCAGTTTTGCAGGCACCTACCCGAGTATCGGCCGGTGCCGTCATGTTCTCTTAGTTTGTTCAAAGCGACCGGCCTGGGACCATCGAGTTTCCGGCCCCCACACTTGCAAAAGGCCACAGCCCCATTGCCGCGACCGCAACTTTGTTTGCATCAACCCCTCACATGTTCACCGCACAAGGGTTTCATAAGTGTGCAAATAACCAAGTGGCAACTGTTAAGCCTCAATAGTTTGACGGTGAGATCGTTATCGGTAAGCCATAGTTCATGCATAGGGCGCCCAAGACGAGGCGCAGCCAACCATAGTGTGCTATCACCTGCATCAGCCACGATGGTGAGCCACAAAAAAGAGGCGGTGCTAGTTGATCGTTCACGGGTTGTGTGGGTCCATGCTGGCCAGGTATGATGTCGGTCACTGTGTAGGCAGTTGAGACATGCGGTCGGATGGTATATAGAGGATGTGACTACACGACAGTGTCCTTCACCCTCTTCTTACTGGCGCAACTATAAGTATCCCCTACGCAGCTGTAGTTACAGACACAGACTTTCTCAGAACAACTGCAATACCACTACCTCCTCGAGTCAATTACCATCTAATCTCAGAAGTACTGAGGCAGCCAGCCTTACAAGGCAACCACAATGTCTTACCTGCACTTTTCTCACACTCACGCGCGCGAGCGCACTCCTGAGAAGGAGCCTTACAATTCACGCCCTCTTGTGCGCCGCAATACCCACAAACGCGACCACAGCATCACGCTCTCGGATCTCGACGACGGCCCTGATGACTACCCATACCCTGCCAATCACAAGTCCAACAAGATCTCCAGCGCCCTGACGGTCCGCGATCGACCTTCTCAGCTGGAACGCTACAACATCTGGTCAAACGACACACGCAACAACGAAGACGACGAGAGAATTTACAGCTATGACAGACACCGCACCTACCGGTACTCTGACCGTCGCCATCATAGCGATGACGAAGACGCAGAAGAACGTGCGCTTCGACTCAGGATCAGTGCTCCTTTAGACCGACCCAGCACATCCTATCACCACTCTCACACGTCTCACCTCTGGCCTAGCGACACGCTTCACCGCAGTGACAGATGGATTGATGAGGCCTGGGAGACCCGTGAGCGGTCCCTGTCTCGGGAGCGCACCAGGGTCCGGCGAAACAGCTTCTGGGGAGGCTTTGAAGAGAAGGAGAGGGAGACGCAAGATGAACGATGGAGCAGATACCACCGAGTTAGCGATACGAAGACGGAGGAGATTCGCCCGCTAAGTGGATGGCGCCGCCGCCGGATTGTCGGAGGGAACTAGAGGCGGTGATTTGAATCGGGGATATTTTCCGGTGGGAGTATGAAGGACTCTTTGAGTTAAGTGTTTTTGACTTTCGGCTAGTTTTGGCTTTTGACTGGTTTTGACTTTTGACTATTTTCATCGACACCGGATTTCCTTAAGACGCTCGTTTCTAACAGCAAGGGTGGGATACACAATGGTTTTTGTACTGTGTTTGAGATTATTTCCTACCTTGTATAGATAGTTTTGATTTTGATTAGATACCCAGGACAATATAAGTTAGTATAAGAGAATTCAGGTTTTACTTGGTGATGATGGTTTGAAGAAGCGGGGGTCAATGATAAGATCAGACGAGGGGGGCGCGCACGGGCCTGACGACGCATTGTTTGGTTTGGCGCTTGTCGTGTTTACATGCATCGACACTCCCGTCCCGAACCACGACAACGACACTCCAAATTTCACAACCACACCATGGCGCAATCAGACGCCCGAGACAATATCGCCGACGGCCTCATTGCCAATGGCTCATTCAAGGCCCCCGCACAATCACCAAAAAAATCAGGGCTGTCCCCCAAAAAGACTGCACGCAAGACGCGTAGCAAGAGTATTGGTCCTGGTGGTTTGGAAGAGTTGGAAGCACCACCCCTGAAAGAGGCCGCGGGAAACAGGAGAAAGGTATTTTGAGTGCATGCGATCAGGAATGTAAAGGTTGCTGACTGTTCAGTCTGCCTTTATCCCCGCAGTCAAGTCAATCCTGGCCTCTAATGGCGAGGACGAGAAGAAACGGCGCGAGGCCCGTCGCAAGTCTTTGGGTAAGATTGGTAGTGCCAAAATTGTAGTATTTACGATATTAACT